CACAGACATCTAATTGCTGGAGGGGTATCTTCAAAGCAAGGTCTGTGGGTCACTGTCACTTCTAAGGGGCTTCCATCAAGCTCTTCAGACAGACCTAGGCCCTCTGGTGGTCAAAGGCACCAAAAGTTGGGAAGAAGAGTGATTGGAATCAAGGACAAGGTAGACCCTGGCAGCCTCTTTGTAGATGTCTACTGCTGTCTAAATACGGTGGTTGTCAGGGGTTAGAAGCTCTTTTCACTTCCACCATCCAAAATTTGGCCAGATTCCTCTTTCCGACACTGCCTCCCCTTTTTGAGACAGTGATCTCTATATAGCTGTCCTAGAAATTGCTATGTCGACCAGGCTGGCCTTGAACTGACAGAGACCTGACTGCCTCTGTCTCATGAGTGTTTGAATTAAAGGCATATACTACCACACCCAGCTTCATTTTGACCAATTTAACTGAACTATAAGACACAAGATAAAAGTCTTGGGTGAATGTAAGTTTATCTCAGGCAAGTCCACATGGATTCTAGAGAATGGGACTTGGGTCGAGTCATTTTGTTTTTGTAATTCACATAGAATTTACTTGAAGTAGGGCCTTACAGTTTTCTCTGCTGTACTCAGGAGGCCTGAACTTTGCTCTGGAATCCTGGGAAGTTTCATATGGCCCGCTCCATGTTCTTGCACCCTATTTGACCAGCTGCTCATCCTCATGAAGTGATTGTGGTACTGGTAGGCAGCCCTCTTTTATTTGGGATCACATACTTCATCTGATCCTGTCAGCACTCTTGCATCTTGCCTTAAATACTGAATATTTTCTTATTAGGCCTTCATTGAAACTACCAGCTTCATAGTACTCCAAGTTTCTTTGACTTGTGGGTTTGGAGGAGGGTGATGTGATATTAGAGAGGAAGGTCATTTTGTTGGAAGGGCAGGCACTGATATTAGAGGCCTCATCATAAATAGATCTCATAGTGAAACACTGATGATCCTCCATTTTTCCCATGGTAACATTAGTTCAGGAATGCAAGAAAGATGACAGGAGAAAGAAGGAAGAAAGAAACTCAGTTGCTGTCAGTAGTCCCTCATTTATTCAATTATGTGTCCGGCCGATGAATATGCAAAGCATTTAATAAGACCTTTAAGAGCCTTCAAAGCCTACTACCTAATTCCTATCTTTTCTTATTCCCCAGGATATACTTGACATTGTGTAACACTTGAGTCCCTGAAGACTACTTAGGGAAATATTTCAACATGCTTGAGAAAGTCTGAGAAAGACTGACAGAGATGATGGGGTAGTGACACTTTGCTTGCTTTCAGATTAAGATGGCAACATTATGATCATGTGACCATCTGAGAAAAAACAGAAAGCCTTCTGTATCCACAAAGACTTTTCTTTACATACTTGGGACAAACCTTAATGCTTTCTTTGATACATGCCCATATTTCATCTTTTCTCTACAATGTCTAGAGCAGGAGGTAAGTCTTCTGATGTTCTATGTAGTCTACATATCATCATTCTTGATAATGCTAATCAGAGTAAGTAATGCTAGCTACTAGAAAAAAAGTCTGCAGATAGTGGGTCAGCACAGCTAGGTTTAGTTTTCATTCACATAATAGCCAAATTAAAAGTTAGTGGGTGGTAGGAATAGCCTAGTTCCATGAAGTCAGTCTAGGATTTAACCCTCTCTCATGTTGTTAATTGCACCGTCAGTGTCAGTGTGCTCAATAATATTGCACGGTTGCCAGGAATAGGAAAGAGTGGAGTTGAAGCTTACTTGGTTTTAGTTGTCCTGATCCAGAATGGAAATTACTTTGGCTGAAATGTCATTGAACTAGTCACCTAATGTTACCTAGATACAAGGAGAATGGACAGAACAGTTTAGTTTTGTGCCCAGGAAGGGAACTTGACATTTGGTAAGCAATTGCGACACTGTTGAAATGTCCAGGATGCACCTGTTATACTGTAAGTACTTAAAAATGTTCACTGAACAAGTAAATGAATGGGTGTGTCTGTAGGCTTCCACTGTTGTGTTTTTCATAGAGGGTAAATGGGAAGGAAATAATTCTAGAGGAATGCAGATATTTATCTGCCATACCTTTTATAGTCACATGACAATTTGTATTTCTGAAGTTATTTCACAAGGACCATGGTCTCTTGAAGACACATTTTAGTTTATTCAACAAATATTCCAGTGCCTTCTATGTGTCAGGTGCTATGGTATGTTGCACAGAAGATAGAGTAAAACTCATAATTTCTGCCAACTAGTAGTTAACCTAGAATGATTTTTGTGGGAAGAGAGAAAAGAAATCAATGATTACTAATTTTGTGGGTGCCATGATAGGAAAATGAATGAACTGTTGTGGGAATGTTGAAAAAGGACATGTGATTCAGTCAGAGATGGGCATTATAGGGGTTCATTGGCCAGATTAGAAATACTTGAGTGTAATGGTCATGATACCCATAAGAGAGAGGTAAAGGGAAGGGTATATGCAAATCTGACAATTTAGGGAACTCTAGGAGGCAGTGATGATAAGGGATGAGGCTGCAGGGATAGGCCTAGACTGAGTCATGAAATACTTACCAACTGCATTAGATGAGAAAGGAATGAATAGAGATTAGGAATAGGGATGATGAGGCAAACCTTTATTGAATGAAATAATTGACACACAATAAAATCTAAACAGAAGTTGTACCATCTTCATCTATCCAAATCTATTTTTCATCCAAAGATCTGCTTCAGATAAATGACTGATAATATTGAAGAAGCAAACACAATGCCTGCTCAGTGTCATAATAACAACTCTTTCATGGGAAGAAGTTAAACACAAGAGACCACACAAAAGTGCAATAACCTCCGTCTCCACACAATCTTGCCTTTGAGAGTGGAAAAGCAAAGAGTTCCTTTTGGAATAAAACAAGAGAAGTGATTCATGATTTTGCAAGAATTCTATTTATCCACGGAGTGGACACTTCTAAGAATGTGTTTTCAGATGGACCATGGGGAACAAAACCCTAGAAACAATTCCAGGAGCAAGTTCTGCATCATTGAAGATGTTAAAATTGTTCAGTCAGGGGACCAGGTATTCATCCCAGTACAACTGATAGCTGTTGAGCATTCATGCATGCACTAAGTACGTGTGACTCACACATTTGTATCCTGAATTATATCAAGTGTTTCAGGAAGGTAAAAGATAGGTAAGGATATGCTCTTGTCCTTAAGAAGTTACAACTATCACATGGATCTGGAAGTTTCTTACAAAGGATGTACTCTATTTAAGGATTAAAATAGATATACATAATATGTATACACTGATGTACATACATATGTATTAACCTTCAAGTACAAAGTCCAGCTTAACCATCTATACTTGGGTAACTAGTAACTGGTTGACCTGTAATTTTCACTTTAAAATGAAAATACTTTCAGCTACACTACAATTACCAGGACTAGATAAGATGACTTTCTAAAGAACTGCACATTGGTTTACATTGTTGAAGGTAAGTGCTGTAGTACTCTCTAGCTGTGTTTAGCAAAGTTTGTGGGGGCAAAAACACTTATGTCCAAGGATGGTAATATATATTTCTCAAGAAGAGAGTTCTGTGATTAAATTTGAAAAAAAAAATAGGTTGTTAAGATGCTAATATGCACTGTGGATCTCAAGGAAAGCAACTGTACTGTCTCTTTTCTTAAATTACACTGCTCTTGGAACAATTGAACCTCTCCGGGGCCAGCATCTCCAGGGTTGTGAGATTTACAAGTCTCACTTTGAAAAAGATAAGTATAATTTTTGGTAACCTGGAAGCCTTATCAAAAATTCTGTAAATAATGTGATAATTTCCCCAGCACTGAGATACTTAAAAGGAAAGGGCCAGCAACTCTTTGACAAAGTTAGAGAGGATTCCTCCATAAAATTTGGGGACATATGGTGTTGTAGTGGACACATTTAATATTAATATTGATGTTAATATTGGTATTAATATTAGCAGGGCAGTAGGACATACAAAGCAACAAAAGTGTAGAGACTTGAACTGAATCTGAAAGATTTTATATAATTAGACTTAAAGTTTATTTTATTATTTTATATCTATGGGTGTCTTGCCTGCATATACATATGTCTGCCTGCGGCGGTCAGAGAGGGTGCTGGATCCCCTGGAACTGGAGTTACAGATGGCTGTGAGCTGCCGCCTGGGTGCTGGGAATCAAACCCCGGTCTTCTGTAAGAGAGCCACTGAAACTGTTTTTCTGCTTATAATTAAACTTTCTATAAAACATTAAAAGTCATAAAAATCAACTCCGTTTGGAACAATAGGGGTACAGAAACACCTCCAGCAAGAAAAGACTTGTTCAGAGTTCACCAGGACAGTATCTTTCCCTTTTTTTCTCACTCAGCACACTTCAGGCTCTGCCTAGCTGCGTTAGATCTTTCTGGATTAAGCAGGCAGTGACATTCAGCATGGCGCTGAGAAGCCGAGAAAGCAGGAGAACCACCACTCATTTAGGTGCGGGGTGAGGGTGGTGGGTGAAATTCCCACCCAGAGGGGGGGCAGGACGGACGTGAGGAGGGGCAGGGCTATGCTGGGGGAACGAGGGATTCTGAGGGGATGGGGAGGGTTACCTGAAGAGAGAGAGAGAGAGAGAGAGTGTGTGTGTGTGTGTGTGTGTGTGTGTGTGTGTGTGTGTGTGTGTGTGTGTGTGTGTGTGTGTGTGTGTGTGTGTGTGTGTGTGTGTGTGTGTGTGTGTGTGTGTGTGTGTGTGTGTGTGTGTGTGTGTGTGTGTGTGTGTTCTCCGAGGGGGCGGGGAAGGTGGGGACGCCTGAGGGTGTGTGGGGGGGGAACAGTAACAGGGGCGGGGCTTCCTTAAGAAGGAGCCTGGCTGTCCTGGGGGAGGGGCCCCTGAAGGGGGTGGAGCGGCTCTGTGGGCCAGGAGCGGCCATGGGCTGACAGGGTGCGAGGGGCGGGGCGCAGGGCGTGGCTTGGCGAGGTGCTGGGCGGAGCCGAGAGCTGAGGCGATCCAGCGCGCCGGGCGTCCGTTACAGGTGGCCGGGAGGAGTGACGGGGGCGCCTCCTCAGCGCTGGGTGCGGCGAGGGCGCCGGCGCCTCGGGAGCCTTAGGTGAAGACGCCAAGGAGAGCGCGAGACGGCGGCGGCGGGGAGCTGCCTCGGCTCAGGTGCGCTTCTCCTTCCGGACGGGTCTCCCGTCTCTTGAGTCTTTTACTTTCTGTCAAGGGTCGCGGTGGCCTAGGTGCGCCCGGCTGTTCCCAAGTCTCCTCAGGACGCCTGCGGGGTGGGGTGGGGGTGAGGCCCGAGCCGCCCGGCGTGGCCCGGGGTCTCGGGGAAGGCGCCTGAGCCCAGGCGAGTGCGGCCTCAAGCCTGCCCCTGCCCGCGCTGGTTCGCGAGCCCCAGGTGCTCTCCGGGCGGGCGGGCGGGCGGGCGGGCGAGTGAGGTGAGCAGCCTAGAGTGTGTACCTGGGAAACTTCCCAGACTCCTTGAATCGAGGAAAGGGGGTGAAAAAGTCCTATTCCCGGGTTTTGCACACTGCAGTGGGATTTCTACCTCTTCTGTGCTTTTCTCTCTTCTATGATTCTCCTTTAATATAGGGAGATAGAATAGTTGAGTTGTGGGACAGATGCCAAGCCAAACATAGATTTCTTTAAAGGAAGTACGTAAAAGTTTTTTGCTTTTGTAATCAAAATATTTTGACTCATTCCTGGTAGGCAGTCAATGGAGTTGTGTTTTCTCTTTTACTGTAACGGAATTTTCCCGTTTTTTTTCATACTTGTTTATTCAACTTGGTTAAAACCATTTCTAGACGGTAATGTTAATAGTATTTGCCTCTGAGATTCGAGATTTGTTTCTATCATCTCCTTTGTAAGTTTTTGTGTAGGGGTTGCTAAGGAACATTTTGCCCTTATAACTAGAAGAGAAACACTTTTTAATCCTTCACGAAAATTTAAATAGGTCTTGAATTTTGCTTCGTTTAATTTATAACTATTCATGAATAGAACTTATCGATGAAGAAATGAATGCATATTGAGAGAAAATGAATTCGAGATTCTGTTAGGACATCTGGCAAGTGTTGTCTAGTCGGCACTAAGATTTATTGGTTTTAGGTTTTTCTGAAACCAGACACAGAAACCGTGTAAGGGTATAGATCGTTCGAGTAAGTACAGAATCAGAAGAGAGGAAGGCTATGGGAATTATGAATACTTAAGTGATATGGAGAGAGCCAAGGAGACCGAGGAGCCTTGAGAAAAAAATGAGAAATTCTAAGAGACAGTGGGATTTAAGGAGTCAGGAGAGGAGCCTTCAAGTGACACGGATCAAATGGATCAGGAAATACAGTGCCTATTGACTTTGGTAGCTAAGGAGAGAGAGGGTCTTTGCTTTCAGCAAACCTAATTTGAGTAAAATAGTAAGGGCAGAAGCCAAATTTGAATGAATTCGAGCTGTGAATAGAGGATAAAGAAGTAAAAATATTGGGTGTAGAATCTATATTTTAAGAAAGATTAGGAATGGTGACAGCAGTGGTTATTAGAGGGGATCTTATTGTGGAATTGGAAAGAATATGAAGACTATAGAATTGCTTTTAACATTCATTGTCCTCTCTCAAACTGTGGAAGCTGAGAACAAATAGCTGGTCATAATGAATAGTACTATTCATAAATTGTGAATACTATTTTAGTACATTTTACATTCAGCAGTTTAGGTTCAGCAGTTGCTATTAGTATTTAAGCTACAAATATGAACTGTGTCAGACTGTATTTCATTTGAAGTCCAGTACTGTGATACTCCAAACTTTTAAGTTATTTGACTTCTTCAGGTATATCCTAATGATTCCTCTAGATATCTTATGTGGAAATCAGATGTTTTTACTAAATTACAATTGCTGCATATATTAGTCAGAGCTTTGGGTTTAATGTGCATTTAAACGAAAATGCTCTTGGATTAAATTTTCTGTATAATGGGTTTTACTTTGATCTCCATTGGAAGTTTTGTTGTTATTCTGAAGTTCAGATAGTACTTTAATGAATATATTACTTAGGAATATGGAAAGGATAGTTCAGAGGGAAAGTCTGACTACCAAGAATTATATATGAATCTCCAATAGTTGTGCTGGTGGGAGTTTAATTTGGCTAAATCATTAAAAAACCTTTTCAGCAGTATTTAATAAGGTGAAACATGCTTAAACTGTGTGCAAATAGTTACCCAACAAAATTCTAAAAAATGTAAACACGACAGAAAACACATTAAATTGTTACAGTGAAAGAAAGTAAGTGGATAGATTAAAAGGAGGCATTGGGTAACCTTTGGGGATGTTGGATGTATTAATTTACTGGATTGTGATAATACTTTCCCCAAAATATTCATATATGACTTATTTAATTGTAAATTTTAAAAATGTGCAGTTTGTTTCAGAACAGTTATACACTGGTAAATTAAAGTAAATAAAAAGAGGAAGAATTGACAGCATTTTAGTATAGTTACTTTCTTTGACTACTATAGTTATGTCAGGGTGATAGGATTGTGAACACTTTTAATTTTCTTCATTTTTACACTGTATTGTGAATATATAATGGAGAAACTATTTAACATATGCAAGATGGCATTAAACACATCTATAGATTTAAAGAATAGAGATACTCGTGTACTTAAGAAATAAGACATAATATATTTAAAGTTGTCCTGTGCATTCTATATATTTCCTTTTCTTGATTTTCTTTATAATTTTATTACATGCCTATATATTTCTAAAAATTGTATTGTTTGTTTTTTTCTGTTTCGAGATGAAATATAAAATTATCCTGTATGATTTGTGACTTATTTTTTATACAGGGTGTCATTGTGTAGCTCAGATTGGCCTCAAACTTGCCATTCTCCTCTCTCAGCCTCACAAATGAAGGGATTATAAGTATCTACCACCACATCCTGTTCTATGACTTCAACACTATATTTGTGATATTTTTTCATGTTCATATACTATAGATCATTTGTTTTTTATTGCTGTTTATCACCCTATTAGATGACCTTTCCATTGTTTACCCATAATCCTGTTGATGGGTTTTTAGTGTACATTCTTATCTTTTATTTTTTACTTTTTGCTATTAAAAGCTGTTTTGTGATACCCTTCCAGTCTATGTTTCTTTATATCCATGTATATGAATTTCTTTTGGCTTTTAAAATCTAATAGTAGATGTAGCATGAATCTTAACAGTTCTTACTAATAAAATAAAACCTGAGGCCAGTTATTGGGGTGTACACTGGAAGATCAGAGAGACAGAACAAGCCACAGCTACCTCACCTTGCCAGTTCCTCAGCTAGTCCTGTTTCCTCAGACTGGAAGCCTCTGAGTCCTCATCCAGAATGAATCTCAGCTGAACTGCTGCTAGAAGCCTGAAAGCTTAACCAGCTAAATGCTTAACCAGCCAAATGCTTCTAGTTTCTGGTCTCCACACCTTATATATCTTTCTGTTTTTGCCATCACTCCCTGGGATTAAAGGCTCACTTCTTGGGATTAAAGACGTGTGTCACCATGTGTGGCTGTTTCCAATGTGGCCTTGAACTCACAGAGATCCCAGATTTCTTCCTCTGGAATGCTAGGATTAAAGGCTTGAGTGCCAATATTTTCTAGCCTAAGTATCTATTGGCTGTTCTGTCTCTGACCCCAGCTAAGTTTATTAGGGTGCACAATATTTTGGGGAACACAATACCACCACAAGTAGAGCTGTGGGTCTCTATTTTTGCTGGATAATACTGTTATTTTATGTTGCTTGTATCAGTTATACCATCACAAGTAAGTATTCTCATTCTTATTACCATGTAAGACATTTGTACATTTGTATTTTGCCTGAAAATTTCCTTTTGATGACCTAGTGAGCAAAAAATAGTATCCTATTGGGGAGTTTAATTTACATTTCTTTAATTATTATTATTTAATTATCAACAACTATTTAATTGTTGAACCTTATGTAGTTCTATGCAGTCTGTTTATATCCTTTTCTTCTTTATCTTCTAGAAGTTCTTTGTCTATTTTTGAAATTGATCCTTTATCAGTTATGCATGTGTTCTTTTTCAGTAAATAGCTGTCTCCTTGGTTTGTAGTGCTTTTGAAGAACTTACCTTATATTTTAATATAGCTGGCTGTGTCAACTTCTTTTTGTTTTCTACTTTTGGTGTCTTGTTTAATCTTTCCCTCCCTCCATCTTATAAAAATGTAGTTTTATATTTTTTGCTGGAAGCTTTAAAATGTTACCTTTCCAAAGTGTGTGTCTCTCAATTTTTCTCTAACACCTAAAACTACAATAAAAAGTATTAAAAACTGATATTAGGGCCAAGGAAATGGTTTGGAGAGTGAAAATGCTTGTTCTGCAAGTTTTTTGGCCTAAGTTTTGATCCTGGAGAACACAAGTAGAAAGCTGATGCATTTATAATTCCAGTACTTCTATGGTGAGATAAGAGGCAAACACTGAAAATCTGCCAGTAGCTTGTGGGCCAGCTAGCCTGGAGTATATAGAGTATAGTGGCTGAAACAAGAGAGATCCTGCCTCAAAACAAGACGGAAGGGGAGAAACAACTCTTCAACGGTTGTTCTTTGACCTCCACAAGCACAGAATGGCATAAGTGTACCCTCATGTACACACACAATAAATAGTTAGTTTTGAAAAATGGTATCATACTCAGGACCTGAGCCCATAGCAGGAAGCCAGCTAAACTATGTAGCTACTTCAAGACCATCTTAAACTACCAAGTAGCAAGACTTTGCCTCAAAAAAACCATAGCTTAGTGGTTAAGTATTTGCTAAGTATATGCAAAGTCATGGGTTTCATCCTCAGTACCACAAAAAGGGAAAAAATCCTTTCGTATTTATAGCCTTAACCTATGTGTAATTATTTTAATGTGTGTATGTGAAGTGGGAGGATCTAGTTTTGTTCCTTTTCCCCCATATGGCTAATCATTTATTGAATGCTCTTAATTTTCATCCTAGTGATCCTGTCATATGTCATATTTCTTTGTATTTGTGAGTGTGTTTTGAAGTTACTGTTTCTTTGAACTCTTTATATATCCTTTCTTATAGTCTTGCTTTAGTTGTAGAAAGAACCTTGACATTATGCCATGTTTCTTGTAAAACTAGACTTCTCAGATTGTTCTGTTTTTCCTTTTCCCTTTTAGAAGTAAACTTTTACTTTTTATAATATATTGCTTTATTTTTAAACAAGTACTGTAATCACCTTAGTGACTAAAACAAAACAAAAAAAACAAACAAAAACATAATGTAAAGCATATTGGTTGTAAAATCTTGTCCTATTTCACCAAAACTAATTTTAAGTTAAAAAGTAAACATGAGAGTTTATTTTGGAAACATAGTAAGTTGCAGTATTTGGAACAAATTTTCCACTGCAAACAACTAAAAATATTGTATCTTAAGAAATGTGAATTAACACGTCAAAAAGCTAAGAGAATGCTAGAAATATGAGAGTAAGGAGCTCTTAAGTTCTATTTGCTTGAAGGGTATTTGCTTAGCTAGGGGAACTTGATGGCTATGAAATACTTAGGGTATTTGTAGTGCTAAGAACACTTGGAATTCAATCAGGGCACCTTGAAGATAAACTAAAGAGAGAGCTTCTGTCTCTAATTCAAAGATCCCAAAGGGTCAATTTGTTGAGAAGGGAGTAAAAAATTACTCTTTGCCATCTTCAAAGAAACAAAACAAAGAACATTGTAAGGAAAGTTACCTTGATGCTATCTAAAGCAGAAGGGGGAGAAAAGCCTGTCCTTGGCAAGTTGTAACCATCCAATAAACTAAGTGGGGGTGGGTGGGGCTGTGGGTGTGTAGGGAGGTAGTTATCCATGATAAACTTACAAGAGATCTCTTTTTAGTTATTCACTCTGTTAAAGTATACCATTCAGGAACAATCTTGTGGTTCCCCCTAAAACAGTGGCTCTCAACCTTCCTAATGCTATGACCCTTTAATACAGTTCCTCATGTTGTAGTGGCTCCCAGCAATAATATTATTTCATTGCTACTTCATAACTGTAATTTTTCTACTGTTATGAATTGTAATACAAATATCTGATATGCAGGATATGATATATAATCCTAAAGGGTTACGACCCACAGGTTGAGAATCACCACCTTAAACGGAACCTTGTATCCATTTGTACTATAGTAACTTCTTATTTTCTTTCCTCCAGTTTCTGACAACACTAATTTATCTTGTGTCTGAATTTGCCTATAAATAGAATCATATAATGTGATCTTCATGTCTTCTTTTACTTAGCATATTGTTTCCAAGGTTTATCCATGATATAGCATGAATTGGTACTTAATTCTTTTTTTGTTATTATTGTTAAATAGTACCTATTGTATAGACAAATATGTGTCACACTTTATCTTTTTACTGATGGATGGTTGACTGTTTCTATTTCTTTACTTTTCTGAGTAAGGCTAAGTATGAACATTTGTGTTCAAGTTTTTTGCATGAAAATATGGTTTTCATTTTCATAGGTATATTAAACCAGAAATGGAATTCCTGGGTCATATGGTAACTTTTAGTGACATTTTTGGGAAATACCATGGTATTTTTAACAATACATCTACACCATTTTACATTCTTACCAGCAATGTGTGATGGTTCCAGTTTTACTTCATGTATTTTGTGTGTGTTTTCAATTACTGCTTGTAAAGTGACATTTCATTGTAATTTTATTGGTAGTTCCCTTATAGTCATTGAAGTTGATTTCCTTTTCATGTTTATTGATCATTTTTTTTTTATCTTGGAGAAATACCAAATTCTTTGTCCACATGGTTTTGGTTAGTTGTCAAAACATGAATTTAAAACAATAAAGTAAACAATTACATACAAATACATATCCTTAAAGATGTCAGTTTTTTATAAGATAGAAGTTTTTTATGTTCCCAATGAAAGTATCATTAGATTTTTTTTTCTCTTGGAGCTAGACCAGACTGCAGAATTAATTGGTAAGATCAGACAAGCATGAGTAGCTAAGAAAAAGCTGAAAGTGAAGAGCAGTAAGTATGACTAGCCCTGCTGTACATTTTAATCCAAAACTAAAATCACATGGTGTTTATATAGGAATTCATTGACCAGTGGAAGAGAATAGAAAATACGGAAACATACCCAATTACACATGGAAATTTAATATTTTAATAAAGTGAACATCCTAATAGTAGTGGAGAAAATAAGAATTTTTTTAAAATTGTATTTTATCTATCTATCTATCTATCTATCTATCTATCTATCTATCTATCTATCTATCATTTTTTAAGTGTGTGCATAGATGTGTGTGAGTTTCAAGTATAGAGGTAAAAATACGGAATGCTTCACCAGTTTACTTGTTATTCTACATAAAGGCCATGCTAATCTCCATATCATTCTAGTTTTAATACATGTGCTGCTGAAGTGAGCACATGGAATTTTGAGTATGTGGTGTTTGTGGTATACACTGGTATAAAATAGGTTTGGATACATTTTTCATACCATGCACCATGATGACCATATAAAAAAATAATTAAAATAACTTGAAGATGCCAGGCGGCATGGTGCATGCCTTCAATCCCAGCACTTGGGAGGCAGAAGCAGGCAGATCTCTGTGAGTTTTAGGCCAGCCTGGTCTACAAAGTGAGTTTCAGGACAGTCAGGGCTACAAGAGAAACCCTGCCTTGATAAACAAACAAACAAACAAAAACAAACAAGCAAAAAATTTGAAAAGATGAATCAATTATTTATGACCTTGATATGGAGAAACTTTATTATGACTTAGTCTAGCTGCAAAAATGAAAATCATAGATATAATTATGTATGTAGGTGTATATATGTTCATATGTTTATATATCCAAGGTGCTTCAGAATCTGACACTTCAGTGCTAATATAATGCTGTAAGTAGAAAAATTCACATCATAAAACTTTGTTTCATAGACAAAATTACTTTTGTATATATAAAATATATATGAAAAAAATACATTTCATACTTAGATCTGGTTTCTCCCCTAGGTATCTCATTATGTATGTGTAAATATTGTGAAATCCAAAATCTGAAACACTTTTGATATCAAGCATTTTAGACAACAGGTAATCAATCTGTGTGTGTGTGTGTGTGTGTGTGTGTGTGTGTGTGTGTGTGTGTGTGTGCACATCTAGGACTTTCCACATGCTAGGCAAATGCTCTGCCACTGAGCTACATCCCAAGCTTATACAAACACTTTTGCATAATAGTAATCAAAGCAAGAAGCAAATGACAGATTAAAAGAACATTTCTCACTTATATGATGAACTTGAGTTAATCTCTGAAATAATAAAAAAACCTCTAAACTAGATAAATGGGAACTTATGAACACAGATAATTCATAGAAATATAGTTTAGCCTTATGTGTTAAATGATGCCCAACATCAATTTTTAAAGATTGTTATTTTTATTTCATGTGTATTTGTGTTTTGCCCACATGTATATATGTGTACCACATGAGTGAAGTGCCAGAAGAAGGTGTTGGAGTTACAGGCCGCTAACTGTCATATGGGTGTTGGGAATTGAATGCCAATCCTCTGAAAGAGCAGCTAGTGTTCTTAACCACTGAGCCATTATCTCTCCAGCCCTTCCCAACATCATTTTTAATAAGGGAGATGCAACTTAAGACAACAAAGGCCAATCATTTCTTTCCTATCACACCGACAAAATTGCAGCATTTGAATGACATTTTGTTGGCGACAAACGTGATTTTATATACTTTTGTTGTGAATATGAAATGGTAGTGATTCAGAGAAATTTTTTTCTCTACAAGCAGAATTACACATATGTACTTTTTGACCCAGTAGTCCTATATTTTACAGATATATACTAAGAAATATCTGAGTAATATATGTACACATAACGAGTGCTACTATTTCTAATAGCAAAAGTTACAACAATCTAAATATTATCTTGAATTCAACAAAACAACTCTTAAAAAATAGAAACCGTAGGTGAAATAAGATACAAAGTATATTAAATTTTTTCATGTTGCTCATGTTAAATTTTTGTATGTGATAATGCTATTATGATTATTTTTAAAAAAGAGTACCTTTTAGAAATGTTATAATCCATTTCAGATATTGTTTGTTTATACTTCAGCTAGTGAGGGCATCTCAAAAGTTAACTTCTGAGGCCCCTGTCACATCTTTCAATGATTACTATTTAAGTATTTTAGATTAAATTATATGATTGGAATTTATTTGAAAGTAAGCCAAAAGTATAGGGCAAATGAGAGGTAGAGATGAAATAAGATTTGCAATGAGTTGAAAATGGTTTAATTTTGGTGATTTTGTTATTTTAGGTTCCTTTTGTGTTTAAATTTCCCATAAAATGCATAGATTTTAAGTAGGTATAAATGAAGAGAGTTCCTTTGGAACAAACACATTGATATCAGGGTAGAAAATTGGACAAAAAGTCCTCATGCACCATGTTCCTGATATAATACATAATCCATTTGCAATATATCCTATTTGTATGCTTGCCTAACCTCCTACCTCTGTAAGTATGTGTCAATGATATAATATTTAAGAGATATTTTTCTGTTAGTTTAATTCTAAGGATTAAGGTAACTTACAGTGTTTACAGTGATTTGCTTATTAGGCCACAATTATAAAGGATTTTGGATTATCAAAATAATTGATCTAGAGAATGAAATTTTTCTGTCATACTTTTTATGGCATTCATATTTTCTTTCAAGTTTTGCTTGGACATAAACCTAGATATATCAGATATAAGAGAATATTGGAAAGGGCATTTTTCTTTCTCAAATTGTAACATTGAAATTCTTCATTTAATAATTTTAAGTATGCTGTTCTGATAAGTTATAAAGATCCTGGATTGTATAAAATCATACAGAAGAGTAAAAATTTATCTTCCTCTTAAATATTTTTCTTCAGAGTCCTCATTATGCATTAGAAAGACAGATAGTATGACTTGTTTAGTGATAGTGACATTAACAATGAAATCTTATGCTTTCTCTTTTACCATCAGGTTGATATTGGAAGTTTTCTGGTTATTAGAAATTGAATGTAATGGCAGCAGAATTTATAAAGAGTTGCTGTAGAGGATGTTTCTATGGTGAAACAGAAAAGCACAAGTGTGAGTATTTTGATTTTGGTAAGCACTTACTTAGTACCTTCTTTATGGCATTTAATAATATTTGAGTAAATTAGAAATGTTTTCTGACTTTGATGGAAAGACCAAAAGGGAAGGCATACTAGGTTGTTACTTCAGAATTCCTAGTGATCCTGAAGTATAGTGGAGAGATTAATTCAAATCATGAAACAACCCTGGACATCACTATAAAGAAGGTAGCATTTGCTGTGGGAGCCTGAATAGGATTTGGCAAGCTGTGGGAAAAAGGAAGTATAAAAATCTAAGAGTTCGACATAGATAGGTGAATGGAATAAGATAGTCAAGGTAAGGAGAGAAGTGTGCTTGGGAAACAATAAACTCTGATAAATGTTTGGGTGCAAATAAAGACAACTTCCACTTTATGTTCAGTACATTACAAATATCTTGTGGATGAATGATCACTGTGCTGGCTAGTTTTATGTTAACTTGACACAAGCTAGAGACATTTGGGAAGAGGGAACCTCAATTGAGAAATTCCCCCCACCAGATTTTCCTGTAGATAATCCTGTAATGCATTTTCTTGATTGATTATTGATGTGTCTGTGTGGGGCAGCTCACTGTGGGTGGTACTGGTGGTCCTGGGTGCTATAAGCCAGTGAGCAGCACTCCTCCATGGCTTCTGCTTTAGTTCCTGCCTTGAGTTCCCTGGATGATGGACTACAAGCTGTAACCCTTTCCTCCCTAAATTGATTTTGGTCATGATGTTTTATCACAGCAGTAGAAACCCATATAAGACAGTCACTGAAGAAGAAACTTATAACTTTATCAGGATCCACATTTAGGAAAGATTCCTATACTAGCTATTTCCTTTTATGTTGTATGGTTTCTTATCTCTTCAGGGTTAAGATTATAACTTTACTTTTCTCTGGTTCTTTTACTTCTTGTAGGGTAGAGCTACTTAGTATATATTTGGATATAAAGTTTTATTAATCTATTTTTTATGCCAGTAACACAGTACTATAACACGAATTGCTTAACAGTCTTAATAAAAAAAAACCTGGAGCCAGATATTGGGGTGAAGCTGAAAGATCAGAGGAACAGAACAAGCCAGCCACACATTCTTACTCCTAGGAAATCCTCAGCCCAAGAGTGTGGGTTCCTGTTTCCTCACACCTTATATACCTTCCTGTGTCCTGCCATATTACTTCCTGAGATTAAAGGCTTGTGTCCTTCCCAAGCAAAGGCATTAGATCTCAAGTGCTGGGATTCAAGGTGTGTGCTACCATGCCTGGCTCCATTCCCATTGTGGCCTTGAATTCACAGAGACCCAGACGGATCTCTGCCTCCAGTAATAGGATTAAGGGTGTGTGCCACCACAGCCTGGCCTCTATGTCTAATTTAGTGTCTGGCTTTGTCCTCTGATCCCCAGGCAAGCTTTATTGGGATACACATAATAATCTGCTTATTACATACTGGATAAGAGGTTTATTTTGGTCCACAACTCTGAAGGTCAAAGGTGATAATGGTTTTCTTGCTGGTAGTATCCTGAGGCAGTACAGAGTATCACTTAATAGAAAAGCAGGGAATGAACACATGTAACTTGATTTCTCTGTGTCTCTTACAAAGCTACCAGATTCAACCGTGGATTCTCTACCCTCCCAAAGGAACTGAATCCCAAAAGCCCCTTATCTAAATACATTATTTGGTTTAAGTTTCCATAAATAGTTTTACTTTCCTTACAATGTGGACTGTGGGTTAATATCCTTACAGTAGGGATTAAATGTCAGCACATGGGGGATACACTTAAACCATATCTATAGCAGAAAGTTTGTTTTTACATTAAAACATTCCATAAATTCCTGTACTACAGTAGTTGTGCTTTTCTTCATTCTACAGATGATACTAACTATACATAAAGATCAGCTATCCTTTTCCACCCTATCTTAGGTTATACAGCTATGTATATACTATTTTAGAAATAAATAAAATGGTGTATAGATGCTCAGGCAGGGGGAACTGCTAATATGATAAATATTTAGTCAATATGCATTTTATTTTGTGATTTGTTGGAGAGTTTTGTAGACTTGAAGACTTTTGCTGCCTTCTCAGAATTGACTTACATATTTGAGACTCCAGTTTACCCATAGCATTAACAACATAAGTTGCTTTGTTATAGCATTTTAAAATGACTCAGTTTTTATTTGAAGACATTTTAATTAAACTGCAAAATAAACTTGCTTTCCATCAATGAGCTCTTATGGTAGTGACTCTTAAAAACTGCTTTTCCCATTCTAATAGGATAAATGTACTTGGGCAATAACGTATTAATTGATCAAATCTTAGTCCACCAAGATTAATGTAAAGTGCAGAAGAGCTTGTTAGAACTCAAGAGTAGCTTGTATTGGAATGTTTTTTAAAAATTATTTTAAAAGGCCAGGCATGGTGTCACACACCATTAGCCTTAGCATTCAAGAGGCATAAGCAAGTGGCAGAAGCCAGCAGATCTCTGTGAATTCCAGGAAAGTGTGGTGTACATAGCAAGTTCCAGGTCAGCTAGGGATACATAGTAAGACCTTGTCTCAAAACAAAATAACAAAATATAATGAAAATAAAAAATAAAATAAAGATATTTAAAAAGTACTAATAATTCTGGCTTTAGATTGTTACATGTAATCTATATACATAATTGTGACTGACTTCTGATCTTTTTCTTCCTTTTGAATGCAGTTTCTGTGGAAAAGGACTTTAAAGCATCAGTCTCAAATAGCCAAAACACCATCTGTACACCTCCATTAACTTCTGTTTCAGTAAAGCCCCAAGTTGGCTGTAGTGAGGATTATTTGCTTTCCAAATTACCATGCGATGGCAAAGAAGTACCATTTGTGGTGCCCAGGTTTAAATTATCTTATATTCAGCCTAGAACACAAGGAACTCCATCACACCTGGATGAACTAGAAGGTAATTAATAAAGTAATCATGATTTAAAAGTCAACATGGACCATTTAAATGCTATTAATGGTGTTATTTTCTTTTTTAATATCTTTTACACAAAATTTATACAAATATTTATATTTTGAGTTTTATAAGTTCTTTTCTGTAGAATGGCTTAATGAACAGTATTTTTGAAATGTCCTATTGTAGAAACTGATCACAGTATAGCATGGCACATTTATATATAGTTATAGTTTGGCTTAAAAATAGTATCTTTTTTTAATATGTGTATGTGTTTATGTCTGTGTATACCAATTTTTTTTTTAATGCCTGTGGAGGCTAGAAGAGAGTATTGGATCTTCTGGAACTAGAATTACAAGTGGTTGTGAGCTGCCTAGTGTGGGTGCTGGACACTGAACTTGAGTCCTCTGGAAGAGCAACAAATGCTTTTAACTGTTGAGCCATATCTCCAGCTCCTCCAATTTGACTTAAAATATATATATGAACCTAGAAAGAAAAAAAGTAAAAGAATTTAATGAGTAAACAATGAAACAGAAACAGTTTTACTTACTGTTTTCTAAAATTTGGTACAATAAGACACAGGGAACAAGCAATCTGCCTGCTCTCCCGCTTCCTGTCTGTCTGTCTTTCCTCCTCCTCCCCTTACTCCCTCATTCCTCCTTATACTTCCCAGACTGAATAGGTACATGAATAAGGTAGATTCATTGACTGAAATTTGGCTCATGTTGTAGAGGTTAATTAGTAAGGATAAAAATGAAACAACACATAACTCTTGTTTTAAAAAATAATTTGTATTAGTCCATTGAAATACTATCAATCATAGTGGCTTTCCCCCAAAAAATTTTATTAGAAAAATTTCAAGCATATTAAGGAATTGAAAGAACATAACAGTAATACCTCTATGCCTAACACTTAAATTGTCCCATTAGCATTTTATTATATATTTTTATCATTAATCTATATAACTCCACCCTTCTATTCAATATTAATACTCTTTTTTGGCAGGGAATGGACAAACACTTAAGAATAAATTGAAGCCATCAGCATACTCCTTCTAAATACTTATATATATCATTTACTGAAGTTTAGTGATCTATTTAGAATTTTATTTTAACATAAATCTTATATACAATGTACATTCTTAAAGTATTTTTGAATTTTGTGTGTATTTACTGAGTTTCAAATATGTTATTTGTTGAATATTGACAAATACATATAATGTAGTTCAAACCCATGTCAAGAAGTATAATACTTGTCCACATATTTTTCTGTTCTGTCTTTTTTCTCCTTTGGGATTCTGATTATACATAGTTTGACTTTTTGATATTGTTCTGTGGGTCTCTGAGACTATTATTTTTTCTTCAGTTTTAGAATAAATGGCCCATTTTCAAGTTCATAGTCTCTCTCATTTGTCATCCTCATTCTGCTCCTAAGTCTCTTTTCTGAATATTTCATTTTAGACATTGTATATTAGAATTTATATTTGGTTCTTTTTTGCATATTTTATTTCTCACTTGTGATTTACCATTATATTATTGTGAACATATTTTATGTCTTTTAGCTAGTTATAGTTGTGTATCTGTGTTAATTTCAATACCTAGATCATCCATTTAGATTTAGGTTCTGTTTGTTGCCCCTTTTCCTTTGAAAATGGATTACATATTTCAGTTACTTTGTATGTGGACTAATTTTAGTTTATATTATGGATAGTTAATGATATTGTGGAATCTCTAGATTTGGTTATATTGATTTGACAAGTCCTATTTCCCTTTTTAACCCCTTCCTATCTCCCTCCAGAGTTGTAACATAGTTGAACTTGGACTACAAATGCTGCCTTAGGTGTCATCCCTAGATTTTTGGTTCAAAAATAGTTGATCAAACTATCAAAATTTAGAATTTCTTCTTTCTAGGATTCTAACCTTTCTTTTTAACATTCCCTTGTTGTCTGGAAGACTGCTCTCTAGTTTATGTGCCTGTTGCTCTTTGAGTTTTGTGTACTCTGCATAGTGTTGGCTTTAGCTTACAATGAAGCCAAAATTAGTTATCTGAAACAGATAACTCAGTTTGTGTGTTACACACTACTTTTCTTTATACTGCATTACTTTTAGGAATTTTACTTGTTTGGTTGGTTTTCATTTTATAATTTATTGCTGTGTGTAGGACATACTTGATTTGTTTGAATGGAAGTGATTTTTTCCCCCTAAGGAAGAAAAATGAACCCAGTGCATGGCCCTACCACTTTACTTTGCACGTATCAAGTGTTTCTCAAAAAATGGTTTTAAAAACTTGTGACTTGCAGAGTAATCGAATCAGTTGATCAATTACCCCCTCATTTATTTACTTTTGTATGTGTGTATTTGGGTGCACATGCAGAAGTCAGAAGACAACTTGTAGGAGTCAGTTCTCTCTTTCCACCAAAAGGTTTTAGAGATTGGACCCATGTTGTCAGGCTTGGGGGAAAGTACCTTTCTTTCTTGTCAGGATTCTCTTTCTCTTTTCATTTATATATGTTAAAATTATTGAAATTAAACTGTTGTATTAGTTAGGGTTTCTATTGCTGCAGTGAAACACCATGACAAAAAAGCAAGTTAGGGAGGAAAGGATTTATTTGGCTTATACTTTCATATCTCTGTTCATTGATGAAGAAAGACAGGACAGTAACTCAAACAGGGCTAGAATCTGAAGGCAGGAGGCCATGGAAGGGAGCTACTTATTGGCTTACTTATCATGATTTTCTCAGCCTGCTTTCTTATAGAACCCAGGACCACCAGCCCAGGGATGACACCACCTACAATGAGCTGGACTCTTCCACATCAACAACTAATTAAGAAAATGCCCTACAGCTGAATCTTATGGAGGCATTTTCTCAATTGAGTTTCTCTCCTTTCAGATGACTGTAGCTTGTGTCAAATTTACATAAGTTTAGCTAGCACAACCATACTTTCAGGCTTATTATCATATATATATATGATATATAGTGACCATGTTTTAATATTAATTGATTTTAATAAATCTATATTATCTCAACATATGAATGTACCATACTTTCTTTAAAATATATTTCTAGGCACATGAGGTATTAGTTACTTTTCTGTTGCTGTGATAAATACTATGACAAAAAGGAGGAGGAGTTTATATTGGCTTTAGAGTAAGAGTGAGAATGATCATAATGTTAGGGGAAACATGGCAGCAAGTGAACAGAGCAGGAAGCTGGCTGATGACATTTTAATCACATACAGGAAGCAGAAAGAACACAAAGTGGAGCACAAACCCTCAAATCTCTCTCCTGGTGGCAATGGTAACATACTTCTCCAGCAAAGCAGTAGCTCTTAAAGGTTCCATAACCTCCCAACCAGTGCTACCAGTTGGGGACCAATAGTCCAAATACATGAGTGAATGGGGACATTTTTCATTCAAACCACAACAGAATGCTTTAGTATTGTTTTCATAGTTAAAAAAGTAAGAAATATATAGCAATAGATGACAGGTTTTCTTTTGTTCTTCTAATGTACTTACTGGAAAACAGATTGAATTTTGAATTACATAGTTAAAAATTGCTTAACTCTTAAATTATAGGCTCATTGAGGACATTGGAAACCATATATATATATTCATATATATCCATCTATCCATTCATCCATACATATATATGAAAATTACTTAATTAAATGCAAGAAAGTCCTCTTGGAACCCAATTGTAGAAGTCAAATATATGTATATTTGTGTGTATGTATGATTGATGAAACGAGATGAAGGAGGCAATTCGGAAAAAACAGACCACTATCAATAATAATTAAAACTTTTTTTTTTTTTTTTTTTTTTTTTTTTTTGGTTTTTCGAGACAGGGTTTCTCTGTGTAGCTTTGCGCCTTTCCTGGAACTCGCTTTGGAGACCAGGCTGGCCTCGAACTCACAGAGATCCGCCTGGCTCTGCCTCCCGAGTGCTGGGATTAAAGGCGTGCGCCACCACCGCCCGGCTAATTAAAACTTTTTTAAGTATTAGAAATTTGTTTTGTCCCATCATTTACCAGCTAATGGGTCTGATTGCAACTGTCCCTTTCTAGGTCCTTACTTCACTGACAACAGATTTTATCATTAAATTTTGAAAAAAAAATCAATGCCTACCTACATATCCACTAAAGATGATAGACATTTTGGCTTAAAATTTTTCAACTGTGGTTTTTAAGAGGGGTAAGCTATCATGTAGTATTACATTTCATTTTGTAGCACTGTGGTTTAGTAAACTGAGAGAAATTCGAGATGAACCTTAAATATCATTGTGTACTGTCTGAAGGAAAAATTTAAATTCTCTAGTGCTTTACTTAATATAAAAGAAAGATGAAATGAGAATACTCTTACATTTTAGAGATAGCTTATAAAAATAATGAACCATCTTTCGTGGTACTGAGGATCTTTAGTAATAATAATAATAATAACAAATTTATATATTGTATTATATACAAATATACTTTATATATAATATAACACATATATAACATTTTGTATATGAATATATTTATATTTTATGTTATAATAATAAAATAATTCCCTTAGGTTTGTTGCTACTCTTGTTGCCATAAACTAAGACTTCTAGTAACATTTTGTTTATGTGCTAAATGATTTAAGTGTTAGTTTATAAGGTATATAAATAATGGCTCTAAGACATCACAACTCTTCAGAATCTCCTTGCCTCTGTACTGTAATTGGATCATGCAGTATTTGAACCAGAGTGAAGATAAAATTTCATCTCATATCTCATTTTATTTTTCTTTTTTGAACTCAGTGTAAATAATTTGTTGTATCATTTAGCTTAATTCAGAAAATACACAATTCATTTTGTGGGTTCAATTTTAAGTAGGACAAAGTAGGACAGAGAATCAAAGATGATAATTTAAACTTTTAAATAAATTTTTGTGTGTTTTGTTTGTATAAACTACGTGTGAGTGCATATTTATGTTTGTGTGTGTGTGTGTGTGTGTGTGTGTGTGTGTGTGTGTACCTGTGCACATGCTTGTGGAGGTCAGAGGTTGACATTGGTTGTCTTCTAATGCTTTCCATCCTATTTTTGAGACATTGTCTCTCCCTGAGAGCTCTCCCCTGAGCTCACCAATTGGCTGCATTGGCTGGCCAATGGGCTCTGGGAATTCTCCTGTCTCTGTCCTTTTAGAGCTAGGGTGACAGATAAGTGCCAACACACTTCGCTTTTATGTGGTGTTGGAGATCTGGAGTCAGGCCCTCCTGTATGTAAGGCAGGCACTTTCTGACTAAGCCATCTTCTCAGCTCTTAAACATTTAAAAATATATGTGCATGTATATGGGTGCATGCATGTAAGGAGATGAAAAGATATCCTCTGGTGACTTTTTTTAGTAATATCATCTGCCTCCATTGAGAGAGGATCCCTCCCTAAAGCTTACCAATTAGGCTGGATGGACTGACCATCATGTCCTCTTACCACTGGGATTACAAGCACACACATATATGCCTAGCAACTTTGATGGGTTCTGGGAAATAAACTCAGATCCTTGTAATTATAAAGTAATGGCTTTATTAACTTAGCCATCATAATTTAAACCTTTGGAAAATCTTAGTTTATACTATATTATTATTAAACCTGAAAGGAATTTTTAAGTTGCTTTAGCTTTTTAAAATTGGAAGAGATCTTACATATGGAGGAAAATGCACAAAACAGAAATGTAAAACTCAGTGATGTATTAAAAAGTAAAATACATATACAGGCACTACCCAAGAAAGGAAAATAGAGAATTACCAGCAAGCCTACCTCTTATTCACTGAGGGTAATCAGTATCACAATTGTTATTATCATAATTTTTGTTTTTCTTCTTAATACATATGCACATATTCTTAAATGTTGTGTGTTTTTTTTTCTGTTTCCAGGTCTTTGTTTATTTGTTTAGTTTTTCTTTTATTGAAAATAAATTTTTTTAATAGAATGTATTCTGATTTCACTCCCCCGCCAACTCCTCTCCGTTCCTCCCCACTTCTGCTCCCATTCAGATTCATATCCTTTTCGTCTCTCCTTAGAAAACAAATAGGCATCTAAGAAATAATAATAAAATAAAATAAAACAAAAACAAATCAGAGTAAGATAAAACAAACAGAGAAACAGATCCAATGAAAAAGCACAAGAAATATATATAGTCACAGAGACACACATGTTCTCACACACAGTAATCCCATAAAAACACAAAACTGGAAGCCATGCTATGTATGCAAAGGATCTGTAAGGTAAAATAAATAAATGCCCTAATATAACATTATGAGACAAAGAACCTCCAAAGATGCCATGAAGTTCATTTTGTGTTGGCCATCCACTGCTGGACACTTAAGAGTGAGTTCTTTTCCCAATGCGAGTTCCTTGGAGAAAATTAATTTTTCATTTGCAAGTTGTTACCAGTTGGAGAAAGCTTTTGGGTTAGGGATGGAGACTCCTTCTAGTACAGACCTGTAGAGGCCCTGTGCGTGCTGCCACAATCTCTGTTATATGTGCATTGGTCATGCTCTGTTTAGAAGGCTTTTTTTGTGGGGGGGGGTGTCATCCATCTTTGGCTCTTACACTCTTTCTGCCTCCATTGTGTTAAACATTATCTTTATCCATTCTTCTGTTGATGAACATCTAAGCTGGCTTTGCCTAATTTCTGGTTATTGTGAATAGAGCAACAATGAACATGGTTGAGGAAGTAGGATGAAGCATCCTTTGGGTATATGCCCAAAAGTGGTATAGATAAATCTTGAGGTAGATCAATTCCCATCTTTCTGAGGAACTGCCACACTTATTTTCATATTGCCAGTAGAAGTTCACACTCCCACCAGCAATGGATGAGTGTTCCCCATACTCCATATCCTCACCAGCATGAACTGTCATTTGTTTTATTTATCTTGGCCATTCTGACTGGAGTAAGATGAAATCTCAAAGTAATTTTGATTTGTATTTTTCCGATGACTAAAGATGTTGAGCATTTCTTTAAGTGCTACTCAGCTATTTAACTTTCCTCCTTTGAGAATTCTCTGTTTAGATAGGTACTTCATTTCTTAACTGGGTTATTTGTTTTCTTGATGTCCATTTTTTGAGTTCTTTATGTATTTTGGATATTAGCCCTCTATCAGATGTGTAGTTAGTAAAAAAAAAAAAAATCTCTTCCCATTCTGTAGCCTGCTGCTTTGTCTGAATGATAGTATCCTTTGCTGTACAGAAAAGCTTTTCAGTTTCTTTAAGTCCCATTATTAATGGTTGTTCTTAGCATCTGTGCTATCAGTGTTTTGTTCAGAAAAGTCTTTTCTTGTTCTGGTCTTTATTTAAATGAAATGACCTAGTCAGTATATATTCTTTTGTTTATGTATTTTTATCTTACATCATGCTTATGAGATTTCATTCAAGTAGCTAGTAATTTTAGTGTTTTCATATCCAAATATAAGTATGCCTTATAATCTATTATTTGTTCTAAATTGCATATATATATATATATATATATATATATATATATATATATATATATATATATATATATATATATATATATATATACACCACTGTAAAGTACTTCTTGTGGCAAATATATACTAATTTTTCCTATTTTACTTTTGGTGGACATTGGAGTTTTCTTGCAATTTTTGGCTACTAAAGATAACAATAGATGTGAACCCTCTTGTATATGTGTCTTACACATATATAGCAATTTCAGCTCTATATATGTTTGGAATGACATTTTTGGGTCATAGAGTATAAGTATCTTCAGCTTTAGTAGAAATTACCAAACTCTTTCACAATGATTGTATAGATTTACATTCCCACCAGCAGAATACAACTGTTTATATTGTTTTATTTTCTTGCCAACACGTTATTGTCACTCTTTTTAGCTTTAACCATTTTGCTTACCTGTGTACCTTTCTAGACTTTAAAATCATGTTTCTTTTATGACTTAAGATTTATAGCCTTCCTTCTAAGTGCCTGTTTAAGTTGTAAACCAATTTGTGTAGAGGTTTATCTGTTCCCTTCTTGACTTTTAGAGGCTTCTCACATAATAGGCCAGTTATATTTGATTACATGTATCTTCTCCCACTCTGGGTTTCCTGTATACTTTAAGTAGCCTTTTGACAAAAGTCTTTTAAAATTTAATATAGTTAAAATACTTTTATGATTAATGTTCTGTGTTTGAAACCTTTCTTACAAATAACTTAACTGTAGAAGGTTTATTTGTATTTGATGTTTAGTTTAGATCTGTGACCTACATATAATTTAAAAAAAATAATTAAGATTAAATTCTTTTCCCCCATGTCAGTATTCAACTAACATTGTAGTGAAAAGACCATCTTTTTTTCCACTGCTATGTGAGGTCATACTGTTTATGTATTAAATATCCATAAAATAATCACTCTCTCAGGGTCTTGTATTCTGTTGCATTAATCTGCTTTTCTATCATTATACCAAAATTTAATTCTTTATACCCAGTACAAAAATAAGTTTTAATTTTTGTTTTTCTTCTTGTTCCTTTGTGTATTAAAAGTTAATTTTTATTTATATGTATGTGTTTATGTGTCTCTGTGTTTGCCGTGGGTAAAAGTTTGGGTGCCTGAGGAATCCAGAAGAGGAAGTCAGATCCCCTGGAGGTGGTGTTACAGGTGGTTGTGAGCTGCCTGACATGGGTGCTGGGTTCTGAGTCCTCTGGGAAAGCAGCAAGTGCTTTTAGCAGCTGAGCTATCTCTCAAGTCTCTTGCTTTTCTTCTTAAAGGTTATGCTAAAAATATTCTTGGTTCTTAGTATTTCTATAAATATTTTCTATTAACTTTGTTGTTGATTTCCAACTTAATTGCACTGTGGTCAAAAATGCTTTGTTTGACTTGAGTCCTTTCAAATAAAAGATCTGTTTAGTGTATCTTATTGCACATGGTCAATTTTTTAAATGTTGTCTTCTTTAAAAAATGTATCTAAAAATCATTTAAAAGAAGTTATATATTTAAGTAGAAACATAAGATGAATTTCAGGCCATGAACTACAGAATTATCTATAGGGCAAAGAAAAATACTGAAAATTTGCCAGTCTGTCTTAAGAGCAGGATTCTTGGCTCATTCCTTACATAAATCATGCAATTACAATTCTATAAATGTGTGCTGGTTAAGGCATATGTTTTAGTATCATTCGTCATGAAGTATTTTTAACCTATTCCTTCAGTGTATCAGCTGTTGGCTTATAGAAACACTTGCTTTCAGGATCTGCCAGAGCATCTTTTGGAGATCAAAAGGCAGAACTTTGCAGTTCATTCTACCATGGACCCAGCTATGATGTGTATAATCCATGCTATATGTATCAGCACTTTTCACCTGATTTAAGTAGGCGCTTTCCTCATTTTGAAACAACAAAAAAGTATGGATCTGGTAAGAAAACATTTTTGTGCTTGTCCTCTGGGCTTATCTTTAAGAGATTTAGAAATTAAATCTAAAACCCTAGCAAAAATAGTTATTATTATGAGCAGGTTTAAAATAAGAACAAAGCAAACTTCACAAGTGTGTGATATGACTTCTCTTTGGTGTTATTGGTGTAAAATTTACATATATTTTATGTTATATATTTAATAAATTTTACAACAGATATTTATAATATTTTATTTTTCTTTTCCAATCAGCTAAATGAATTGAAGAACTCATGATTGGAGGTAGACACAAATAATAGAAAATAACTAGAATTTTTTAGTTTGATATTTGAGACTCTATCAATTATATAAACTACCATATGTATCTCAGATACATAAATTTTTTAGGTTTTTAGGTTTTACAGGTTTATATGCATGCATATATCAGCATCACTGAAAATAAAATATTTTCTTAAGGGCTGCTCTCTACTTAGCACTGTGTTAGAATACACACTTAGTGTGCAGTATTGCTTTTCAAAAAGATCTTACGGTTTGAGAGGAGAACTAGAAATATAAGAGCACATGGAATTCAGGATTGAAATGTTATAATGTTATATGTGCCCATTAAATAGTAGTTGAATTACATTTAACAAAGAGTACTTAAATTGTATTAAATTATTTTTTCTGGATGAAGGACTGGGGAATATAAGCAAAAACGTGCTTAAAATTTGATGTGGATATGAGAATGTATTATTTGATTGCTATAGACTTCTGTTTTAAAGATTAAAATAATTGAAATTTTAAAGATTTTTATCAGAATTTCTGTTTATATAAATTTGTATATAATATACATGATGAATTCCTATAGAGATTTGACTTATGACAATTAGGTAGAATGTCACTATTTCATTCTTATTACTGAAAAAATACTTTTATCCCTTTTTTAGTTTGTGATTTAAGGACCAGTAAACTTCCTGGTTCCCCCGGGCTAAGCAAATCTATGTTTGATCTTACAACTTCACCTCAACGATTCATCCAGGTATATAATATTATATAATATAATTATATAAATTTCATTATATGTGAACTTTTCAAATAAAAACATCAGAACTGTATGAATTACATTAGGAATCACATGTATTTCTGTGACTATGTGTGTTACAATACCTGAGGAGTAAATACTTGACGTTTCCTATTTTCATTATTTTAGGAAAATCTCAGTGATTAATAAAAATAATTATATTTGCTTCATTTTGTGTAATTTTATATCTCTCAATTGGTATGAGCTTAAAGTTCCTGAGGCAATTGGGATTTGTAATCATATAGTTAAAAGTACTTCTTTGCTTATTGAACATAATTGGACAGTTACTAAAATTAGTATTCTATTGAGGTATAAGACTTCAATTTTTCAATTATGCTAATTTAGCATCCTTTGATAGTTTAAAATGTTTCATGTTTTGTTTAGCTAAGTTCTATTTGAAATTAGGGAATAAGCCAGAAATGGTACCTCATGTTTGTAATCCCACTAGAGGGCTGAGGCAGGAGGATCATTTAAGAATATGAAGCTAGCCTAGGCCACATAGTAAAACGATGTCCGTAAGCACCAAAAAATAAAAAAGAGAGACAGTGGTAGAAATAAGCAAAATTTAAAGACAAGTTATATGTCTTTCTGTAAATGAGAGGAAAAGCACCTTGAACATCTTCGTATATATACTTACAGACTTTGCTTTATGTTGGTGGAGAAGGTATGCTTTATAAAATGGGCATGTATTCTAAATTAGCCTTAATAACTCTATCATTAGTTTTAAATACTTAATGCTTTACAACAGCAGTCATTTAACATACATCTGAGTTGTTTGATGATTTTGTTAGATAAAACTGTCAAAGCTTCACCCCCTAGAATTTTGATTCAGTAGTACTGTGATGGGTTCTGAATTTTTATTTGTATGAAGTTTGCATGATGCAGATGCTCCTGGTCTAGAGGGACTATGCTTTGATAATCCCATTTTACACTTTTATAGGTTACTGGACACTTCCAGTAATGTATGCAATATGAAAATTAAGACTAAACCAAAACTACTAAAGGCTTTTCCAGTGTTACCTACTAAGGCATTTTTTTGATGCATGTTAGTTTCCTCTCCTACAAAAGTGGGACTTTCTGACTGATAACATTGATAAAGTGATTAACATGGAGTTTGATATCAAGGTATTTATTGGGGCATAAATGTGAAAGTTTTTAAAGTTTGATATGCAGTTTCTGACTGAAGCATGTTTTTGTTGTTGTTGTTGCAGAGACATGACTCATTGTCCAGTGTGCCTAGTAGTTCTTCTTCAAGGAAAAATTCTCAGGGCAGTAACAGAAGTCTGGGTAAGGAATGCAGTAACCTATTTATACTGTTCAGCAGGTTATTTCTATTCAGTAATAGTTTGACAGTGTTATAATTGGATAAAGGAAAAAAGTGTCCTATTCATTTTATATGCTGGTTATTGAATCTATGTTGACAGTATTATCACAAACTCAGATCAGATAGACCATGACTCAGCGTTCAGGCAATAATGAATATTTTTTAAAGTAAGCTATTACATATCTTTTATTTGTTTTATATATTGGCGTTTGTTTGTTTGTGTTTTAGACAGGGTTTCTCTGTATAGCCTTGGCTGTCCTGTAGACCAGACTGGCTTCCAACTCACAGAGATCTGCTATCCTCTGCCTCCTGAGTGCTGGGATTAAAGGTATGCACCACCACCACACAGCTTATTTGTGTTTTAAAGTATATGGATTAAGGAACTTTCAGAAGCACATAGACCTTATAAGTGTGGTTTGCAAAGACTTGCAGAGTTTTAACTCAATTCCTCACATTGTAATTTTTTTAAATTCCTAAACTATATACATTCTTAGTATATTTAATATCTAGAACTTCACTGAAAATCATAAAAGTGTGGTTTTTGTCTTATTACATTGGACACTTAAAAAAATAAATATATCAGTTTTTGCCAGGCATGGTGGCACATTCCTTTAATCCCAGTGCTTTAGAGGCAGAGGCAGGCGTATTTCTGTGAGTTCAAGGCCAGCCTGGTCTACATAATGAGTTCCAGAATAGGCAGAGCTACATAGTAAAATCTTGTCTCAAAAATTCAATATATATTCAATATATATATATATATATTCAATATATATATATCTATCTTTTAAAACTGGTTTATATCAAAGCTTAACTGAGTTAAAAAGATTGCATGGAGTTTTTATTTTTTTGTCCTTTTTAATTCAGATACAATTACCCTATCAGGAGATGAAAGAGACTTGGGGAGATTGAATGTGAAATTGTTTTATAATTCTTCAGCAGAGCAGATCTGGATCACAGTTTTGCAGGTAAATTAGTGTAGTTAATACTGATTTTTATTATTAAATTGAATATTTATAACCTACAAGTATCTAGTATTGCTTCCTCCTGAAGAAGGGGTCAGTAACTATCTTCCTAATTTAGGATTCTATTGTATTTTGCAGAGTAGACTGTTTAATAAAGCTTTTAACACTGAAAGTGCTAGAAGAAAACAGGGAAAGCTTCAAGATACAGGCATAGGTAAAAACTGTTTGATTAGGACTCTAATAGCACAGGAAATAACTCCAAAGATTAACAAGTGGAATTTCATAAAATTTAAAAGTTTCTAAACAGCAAAAGAAACTATCAGCAGAGTGAATGGACAGCCTATAGAATGGGAGAAAGTCTTTGCCAGTTGTACTTTAGACAAGGAGTTAATATCTTTAATATATAAAGAACTGAACACATTAGACATCCAAACCCTCAAACTGCCAATCAATAAGTGAACTAAAGAACTGACAACCCTTGAAAGGAGGAGTATAAAAGGATAATACATTCTTAAGTAATGTTCAGTATCCTCAGCCATCAGGGAAATGGCTATCATCAAAAGCAAATGAGAACAAATACTGATGGTGAGAATGTTGAGGAAAAGGAATCCTTTGTGGGAGTGTAAACTGGTGTAACCACCATGTAAATCATTGTGGAGAAGTCTCAGAAAACAGACAAACAAAAAATAAAACTACCATAGGACTCAAGTACAAGGCTTATACCGAAGGACTATAAATCTTACTATAGATATACTTGTTCATTCATGTTTATTGCTTTTCTATTCACAGTAGCAAGGAAATTAAATCAACCTAGATGTCTGTCAGCATATAAATTGATTATAAAAATATGGTACATATACATAATGGATTTTTGGATTTTATTTAACCATATTAATGAAATTGTGAAAATTTCAGGAAAAAGGGTAGATCTGGAAATTAACAAGTGAGATAAACAAGACTCAGAAGACAAATAGTACATGTTCTCTTTCATATTTGGTCCTTGATTTTAATTTTTATGTTTGTACTTATATGGACATAAGTTGGGAAATTAGAAAGAAGACCATAAAGAGGGGTGTTTAGGACTTCTGTTTTCATTAATTGTTATAGAAAAGAGATTTTAAGGAAAGAGGTTAGGGATAATAATGGGATACATGTTACTTAAAAGCTAGAAGATGACAGGTACAAATGAGAGGCATGGCAAGGAGAGGAGTAGAGGAAGAGTAATAACTAAAACAAGATATATATGAAAATGTCATGAAGGAAACTTAATGGGACTCTAGAATAATGTCAAAATATTAATATGGATGAAACATGAAATCTTAGTGTTCTAAAATTTATTTAAAAATTTAATAAAAAAATCATTGACTCAGTAGGGCATGGTGGCACACACCTTTAATCCCAGCACTCTGGAGGCAGAGGCAGGTGGATCTTTGAGCCTGATCTACATAGTGAGTCCCAAAACCAGGGCTATGTAGATAGGCTATGTAGATATTCTCAAAAAAGTTATTAACTCAATAAATATAACATAAATATTTGTATTGTCAGAGTCCTTTGTAAAAACATAAATTATGCTTTTAATTCATTTTTGTTTTTAGTGCAGAGATATAATTTGGCCCTCTAGTTGTGGAGATACTCCCACAATTTCTGTAAAAGGAATTTTAACTTTGTCCAAACCAGTGCATTTCAAATCTTCAGCAAAAGAAGGTTCCAATGTAAGTGGCTCTTTGTGTTTGCATTTTTTTCATTTTTTTCATATTTATTTCTTTTATTTATGTAAAATGTGAGAATAAAAAAGTGTTTTGTTTTGGAGAAGCTAAAATGATATACCCTTGCTTTTAAAAGATAATTTTAAATCCTAAGTATTTGCTATTTCATTGTCCAGTATTAAGATGAATTTAAAAAGAGAACTGTAATTACTAGAATATGTAGAAGATTAACAGTAGGTAAGAAACTTCTTTACTTTTCTTGCTCCCAACACTCTTTGGCTTTGAAAAGTATTTTCAGAATTGCAGTTAATCTTATTCCCCAAATCTTCCAATTATTGCAACTAGAAGGTTTATTATCTTGAGTTTTGTTTTATAGATTGTTTTCACATTAATTTAAATACATGCCCATTGTTGTCTTTTGATATAATATGATGATATGATATGGTCATATGGAAATGAAGAGATCTTTTAAAATTCTTCATATTTAATTGTGTATGTGTTGCTTTGTGCACATAAGTGCAGTGTACATTGAGGCCAGAAGATTGCATCTCCTGGAGCTGAGGTTAACAGGTAGCTGTAAGCCACTTTATGTGGGTACTGAGACTTGAACTCAGGTCCACTGTTAGAACAGTATGCATCCCTAAGTCATCTTTCCAGCCTTGAAAAGATAGCTTTTTAAAAGAATGTGTCATCTTAAAATAATAGAATTAAGAAAATTCATTTTAATTATTAATAATAAAATACATATTGATATTTTTACTTAATATGATTAAGAAGTATTTTATTGAAATTTTTTTCACACAATGTATTCTAATCATGCTTTCCACCTTCCTCAACTCCTCCCAAATCCTCTGAACCTACCCAATTCTATACAGGAAATATTTTTTAATTACTCTAAAACAGTGGTTCTTAATATGTGGGTTGCAACTCCTTAGGGTTGCATATCAGATATCCTGAACATCAGATATTTACATTGCAATTCATGACAGTAGCAAAATTACAGTTATGAACTAGCAAAAAATTTTATGGTTGCAGGGGTCCGCACAGCATGAGGAACTGTATTAAAGGGTTGCAGCATTGGTAAGGTTGAGAACCACTGCTTTTAGAAAATTATTTTGGCAACATATGTCAAAACCTTAAAATATCTATGGTTATTAACATGGCTATTTTACTTCAAATCTGTTTCAGGAAAATAATATAAAATGCAAACAAAAACATACATAAAATGTTGGTAATTTTGTACGTAGTAGAAAAATTGAAAAAAAAAACCTAAATGTCTCTATGGAGAAATGATGCACTCAAGGATGAACATTTTCTGAATTAAACAATTTTACTTTATGATTTTCAAATAAAAGTAAGTTAACTTAGCAAAAGTTAGAAAAACTTTCATCAATCTTTAATTTTCAAAATTTATTTTCACACATCAAGTGGTTTGGGAGATCCTTATTATGGAAAATATGATGTGTACCAGCACACTTGCACTGTGTAAGACTGTTAAATAGTTTATGTGTAATATTTTATTGGTATAGTTCTATAGCTAGATAATTTAAAAGAAGAAGCTCAGTGATTGAGAGGCCAAAAGGAACATAATTCTGTCTGATGAGATATTATTATAATATGAATTAAAGTTTGGAGATAATATTCATCATATTTGTTAGTTGACTAGATAACCTTGATTTTTCAAAAAGCTACACTAAAGATGTAAAGTATATATCACAGAACAATCTAGTGTTCAGTCTCTTTTAAAGAGAGACTTAAAGTTTCTTTATGTGAACAGTTTAAATTCTGGATGCTTAGTAAACTTGTATATGAAATTCTCAAACTATTCTCATTAACTTTTGAAAAATTGTGATGAATAGGAAGAAAGATGTATTAGAAAACCAAGGATGGGAAAACAGCCTAATTTTCAAAAAGGGAAAGCCATGTTCTAGTGAGGTTGTTGTCAACATTGATCTTAATTCCTAAGTAATTATAAGGATAATTTGTGAAGCTAAGGAAAATAGTAAAACAAGACACATCCATTTGCATTTTTTAATGAAAAATATACTTGTAAAACACATTCTCAATATCTTTCTTAGGTATAAAGCTTATTTATAATGGCATATCAACCTTTTTAGCATTTATATTTATTGTTTTCTTGTTTTTTAAGGCTATTGAATTTATGGAAACTTTTGTATTTGCTATTAAACTACAAAGTCTACAAACTGTGAGGCTTGTATTTAAGATTCAAACCCAGACTCCCAGGAAGAAAACCATTGGAGAATGTTCTCTGTCACTCAGAACTCTCAGTACACAGGAAATGGATTACTCGCTGGAAATAATACCACCTTCAAAAATTTCCGTAAGTGATAATAGTATCCAATACTAAACATATTTCACAGTTAAAATGGTTTAATGAATGACTTTTATTTGTTGGAGGTTAATTTGAACAGTATAATACATTGGAAGACCACGAAAGCTCTCAAGAAGGAATATCATTTTAAAATAATATTTTAGAAATTTATAAAACATTAACATAACCATTTTCTTTCTTTATTTTCTCCAAAATAACATCATGTTATTCTTTTCTAGTATGTTTTTCACTAATGTTTCATACTGTAGGAGTAACAGCCCCAAAGGCAATAATCTTGAAGTATGAATAACTTTAAATAATTCATTTTTAAGAATTTTTAGTAGCTGAGGACTCAGGAAAAAATAAGTATAAATCATAAAATCCATATGGAATCTGAGTTTACTATAAAGTAGAATTAAGAAAATGGTTTTAACTATAGGTAAGCTGTATATCTGTTCACAAATTGGCTAGAATGGAATTTGGGTCCCCCTCACCCCCGTTATTAGTGATGGAGTCTAGGACCTTATACATGTTCTGCTGTTGAGCTACAACCTATTCCCATCACAGAATGAAAATTTGTTTTCATTCTAATACATTTTTCCTTTTACATAAAAACTTTTTTGTAGTCAAATTTCTAAACAGTCTTATTAAATAAGAAACACAGAGCCAAATACAGAGATCAGAGAACTAGCAAAGAGCCACGACTACCTTATCTTACCACCTTGCTTCCCCAGAGAGAGCTTCTTCCTGTGTAACCTGTGTTTTTATTGCCTTTCTGTTCTGCTTTCTCATTGGCTCTAAGCCTAGCCACATGACTTCTTCATCACTGCCTGTCTATACAGACCTCCAGGTCTCTGTGGTTGGTACTAGGATTAAAGGCTAATGACACCATGCTTGGCTGTGTCCTTGACCACACAGAGACCCTGCCTGCCATGTGGTTGGATTAAGGGCGTGTGCTACCACCTCCAGACTTCTGCTTATGTCTCGCTATGTGACCTCTGATCTCCAGGCAAACTTTATTTATTGACATACAAATAAAATCACATTTCAGCACAATTAAAATATCACCACACTTTTTTATATTCATTTATTTTGGGGAATAGGATATATACTATGGCATGTGTATGGAGGTCAGAGGACAACTTGTGGGAAATGGTTCTCTTCATTATGTAGGTCCTGTGGATCAAACTTTGATTGTCAAGCTAGGTAGCAACCACCTTCAGACTGAGCCACCTCTTTGGACCAAGAATTGAAGTTTTAAAATTTATTATTATTTTTTGGTTGATATTGCTTCATAGAAAAAGTGCTTGGTCGATTTTGAGACCTGATATTTACTTCTCTCAACCAGCCCAACACTGTCCTTAAAGTACTTAGAAATTTCTAATGATTTAACTATATAGTTTTTCTGTGGGGATAACATTTATAGAAATTAGTCTTACTCTTTATAAGAACAAATCTTGTATGATTTTAAATTTATGTAGGATTTATATTTACTTCTCTAAAAATATTATGATGACTTGAAGTACTAACTAAAAGAGCCCTAGCTATGCATTGGTATCATTTGGTACTTTAAAAGCATGTCTACACCTAAACCAATAAAATGAAATTTTCTTGAGGGTTAGGACAGAGATATTTGTAGTCTTCAATAGCTTTCCCAGTAGTGAGTCTAATGTATTGCCTAGCTTGAGAACCACCAAATTGGAAGGGAGAAATTAAGAGATTAAAATATTAAAAAACAAAAATTACTAAAGTGGTCTGAAGAATTAAAATTTCTTTCTCATTGTTTCTTGACTATATTTTCAATCTCAGATGCCAGTGTGTGTGTTTATAACATTTGCTACATTTTAAAACTTATTTAAGTTACTTTTTTTTGCTGTTAAAACACAGTAATTATGACAGCAGTTTGTTATTCTTTTATAAAGGCTTAGTAGATAGTAATATGCAGTCATATTTTACAGAAGATACAAATATCAAATGCATATTTCATATATTAAATGCTAAAGATAGTACTAGTATGTCAGAAGATAATTTAGTGAAGGAAATTGAGAAATTAGTTTCTTTGAAGAATTTGAAGGAATAGTTACGGCTACATTCTTATCTTTGAAAATAAACTTTATTTAATAATTCAAATAAAAAACATTGCATATTGAAATTAAACTAAGTCTTTATATCAATGAGCTTTTATACAGTTAAAGTAGCTATTATGAAGCTGTGGAGGTACTCATTAGATTTTGCACTTTTACTATTGAATATGTTTTAAGCACTAAATAAAAAAATCAAATGACAGAATTAGAACTAGAAAAACAACTATTGTCATTCATAACTCATGTCTATTACCTGTAGTCAGTCCTTGTTCATCACCTAATATTTAGCTTTTCTTGTTCTCTTATCTACATGTTATACTGTACCCCCTTATGTATATGTTTACATATTTTATTGGCCAGGTTCTGCATATGAGGAAACCATGTAATTATTTTCTTTCTGAGATTGTTGATCTTATTTAATATTATACATTATAAGCCTACACATTTTCCTGCAAATTTTATAATTACATTTTTCTTTAGAGCTAAGTGATGTTCCATTTTCTACATATATAAAATTTTCATATACTCATCTATTGGTAGACAACTAGGTTGAATCCATTTTTGTGATTTATTATATTTATTGCCTTGTACATGTTGAACCATCTCTGCATCTCTGGGATAAAGCCAACTTGGTTATGATAGATAATCTTTTTGAGGTATGTCTATATTCAGTTTACAAATAAATTACTGAGATTTTTTAATTCATGTTCATCAAGGATATTGGGCTCTCATTTTCTTTTGTTGTGTTTTTGCCTGGTTTTTGAAAAATTTAAGAAGGATTGGGTGTAGATCTTTATTGAAAGTCTGGTAGAATTCTGCTATGAATCTATCTGGGACTTTTTTTTTTAAGTTGGAAGGCTTTTTATTACTATTTGAAGCTTCTCATTTGTTATAGGTTTGTTTAGTTTGTTGATTTCTTCTTGGTTTAATTGTGGTGGTTTGGATGAATCAAGAAATTCATCCATTTCTTTTAGATTTTTACATCTTAATGGATAAAGGTTTTGTTTTAAAGTATTCCTTCATAATATTCTGAATTTCTTTATTGTGTGTTGTGATAGTTCCCTGTTCATTTCTCATTCTGTTAACTTGGGTCATCGCTCTCTCTTTTGGTTAGTTGGATCAATGGTCTGTCAATTTTGTTTGCTTTCAAAATGAACCAGCCCTAAGATTCATTGATTCTTTGTATTGTTTTCTTTGTTTCTATTTCATGAATTTCTGCTTTGATTTTTATTATTTCTTGCAATCTACTGAATTTAGGTTTGGTTTGTTCTTGTTTCTCCAGATTTTTGACTTGCATCATTAAGTCATTAATTTTTGTTCTTTTTGATTTTTTAAATATAGGTACTTAGAACTGTAAATTTCCTTTGTAGAACTACTTGAAATGTATCCTAGAGGTTTTATATAGTGTTTTCCATTTTCATTTCTTTCTTTTTTTTTCTTTTTTTCTTTGAACCATTCATTTTCAGTAATGAGTTGCATAATCTCCATGAATTTATGTATTTATTAGAGATTTGCTGTTAATTTTAAATTTTATTACATTGTAGTCATAAAGAATACATGGAGTCATCGCCATCTTTCTGATTTTCTAAGGATTTGTTTTGTATTTTTTCTTGATGGACTTCTTGACCTTGATCATTAATAATATTACATATTTATTTGAGAGCTCAAGTTTCTGTGCTCAATAATGTAGATGAGACAGAATTTACCTGAAGAAATAACTGACCATTACAGAGATTTATGGCTTACTTGTTGCTAAAGTACAAAACTTTCATACCATGCTTATGAGCATGTGCTCATGTTATCTCTGGAAATAGTGGAAATAGTGAAACTTGCTTGAGTTCATAGAACTAGCAGTTGGAGAATAGGATTTGTTTTCAGAGCTAGCTCTTTGGGTTCTACCATGTATTTATTACTTTCCCTTCATACAAAAATATTCTCAAACATCACCAGATCATGTTTTCTCTGGTATTCTTTTACTTTTTCAGTTTTAGCAATTCTAGGAAGCTAATAAAGTTTTCTTTAAAAAAGTGATACACTATTTAGAAGCAGAGATCTTCCATAATATTGTGCTCATTAAATATAGTCAATATATACCTGCTAACTAGAATTTTTAATTTGGGGATTTAATAAATCAATCACTTTAAATAGTTTTTCAAGAAATGAATTAATGTCCTGGAATATAACTTGTATTTGTGAAATAACTTTGGCAAGTAGAAGGTGTCAAGTCCACCGCCAAGATCTGCTGTGCTTTATGAGAGTGATCTCTATAATAGTGTAACAATGATAAATTTTTGCCAACTTTAGGTAGTCTCATAGTAAGTGTTTAATTATGAATATAAAATAATAATGAAAAAGAATTGATGAGATAACTTAATCATGGTTTCTTTTGTGTTTTGTAAACAGTTGTGTCTGTACATTTTTTCTTCCTTCAGTATTAGGGATTAATACTTGCTAGGCAAGCACTCTATACTATACCGCTCCTTTTTTTTTTTTTTTAAAAAAAAGTATTGAACTTGCAATGTTCCTGCCTTAGCCTCCTCAGTAGCTGAGATTTCAGGTCTATATTACCATTCTCAGCTATATTTTTTAAATGTACTAATTTAAATGCCATGAACAGAAACTTATTTTTTTTCAGATAGGATCCCACTATATAGTCCAGATTAGTCTCAAATTCACTATCCTCCTACCTTCAGACACTTTTATTTTAATCAGTAAAGGTTTTATTTTGTACATGGTGTTTGAATTCTTGAGTTATTGATCCATTCTCATTCTTAAACCTCAAGCACTAGATTTGCTTATTTCTTAGGAATCATCATTTGTTGCTAAAATTAACACATTATATCATCATAGTAAAAACAGTGATTCTCAACTTTCCTAATGTTGTGAACTTTAATACAATTCATCATGTGGTGACCCCCCAACTATAAAATTATTTTCATGGCTACTTCATAACTAGTTTTGCTACTGAGTGGTGTCTTGGTTCCTAAGTCCATTGGAAATATGTGTTTTCTGATAGTCCTGATCCGCAGGTTGAGAACTGCTGTAGTTAAATTTTTTAAGGGGGAAAATAACTGCTGTATATGTCATAGGGTTCCTATTGCTGTGAAGAAACACCATGACCACGCCAACTCTTATAAAGGAAAACATTTAATTTGGGTGGCCTACAGTTGATTCAGTTCATTATCATCATGGCAGGACAGGGCAATGTGTGGGCAGACATGGTGTTGAAGAAGAAGCTGAGAGTCCTACATCTTGATCTGCATTTAACAAAGTGAACTGTGTCATTGGGTGTAGCTTGAACATAGGAGACCTCAGAGCCCACCCCCACAGTGACACACTTCCTCCAATAGGCCATACCTATTCTAACAAAGCCACACCTCCTAATGATGCCATTCCCTTTGGGGGCCATTTTCTTTCAAACCACCACAGTGTAGTTTATATTTTCTAAGCAATTTGTTTTTCAATGAAGCTTTCAATTTCTTATTGCATAATAATGTTAAAACATAGAATCATGCCAGGCGGTGGTGGCACACGCCTTTAATCCCAGCAATTGGGAGGCAGAGCCAGGTGGATGTCTGTGAGTTCAAGGCCAGCCTGGTCTGCAGAGCGAGATCCAGGACAGGCAGCAAAACTACACAGAGAAACCCTGTCTCAAAAAAAACCCCCAAACAAACAAACAAACAAACAAAAAACCAAAAAAATAGAATCATAAGCTTTCAAATTCTTATTAAAACAAAATCATGTTTTAAGAAAATACTCATACTTCAGTCAATAGCATGTACATAGAAAGTTGTTTTTCTTTTGTTTCTTTCCAATGGGCCAATTATTGCAAAATGTTTGGCAATTATCAAATACTATATAAAACTCTTTGAGAAATGTTAAACATTCTGCAACTTTATTTGAATCAGTATTGTAGTTGTCTATGCTAAGCCCTGGCAAGATCTTCAGTGCCATGTTCCTGCGTTATAACCGCAGTATATGTCATAGAGTTCTTTTCAGATCATTAGTAGTAATAGTTTTTTTGTATTTGGAAAACTGTTTTTCACTTCAAGGACCTTAGAATCAATAAAGTGGGCTGTCTTATGTTACATTTCACAAACAAATCACCATTTTTTCTTGTTGTTTTTGCTGTTGGTCAGCAATATTGTGGAGTATATTTTATTTTCTTCCCTTAAGTATTCTTTATTTTACTGTTTGCCTCAGGTTTTCTTTGACCTTTTCCTCATTGCTTTTACTAGCTTCTTTCTTGTCAGATTTTCTTGGCTTACATCTATTTGGAATAGTAATGCAACTCTGAGTCCACAAATAGTTTGTTGTAGTAATCCTTTGCCTTCTGACTTTGGTAACAACTATACAGATTTCCAAAGTTAGAAAAAAAAGTTATCCTGTTATCCTCTGTCACTTTAAAAATCATATTTCAGCTGCTGGTGGTGGTCCTAGCATTCGTGAGGTAGAGGCTGGCAGATCTCTGAGTTTGAGGCCAGCCTGGTCTACAGAGCAACTTCCAACATTGTTGTAGAATATTATTTAAAGGTGTATTACTTTTGTTTATGTTGCATTTGTTTAACTCTGTGAAGCTGTGTTACTGTGCCTGTCTAAAACACCTGATGGTCTAATAAAGAACTGAATGGCCAATAGCAAGGCAGGAGAAAGGATAAGCGGGCCTGGCAGGCAGAGAGAATATATAGAAGAAGAAAAAGAAGTAGCCAGAGAAGGAGGAAGACTCTAGGGGCCAGTTACCCAGCTACACAGCAAACCTGTGTAATAGCAAGATTTACAGAAGTAGAGAACAGGAAGAGCCCAGAGGCAAAAGAGAGAGAGGGTAATTTAAGTTAAGAAGAGCTAGCAAGAAACAAGCCAAGCTAAGGCTGGGCATCTATAATTAATAATAAGCCTCTGCATGTGATTTATTTGGGAGCTGGGTACCCCCCCTCAATGAAAGAACCAAAAACCCAACAATACAACATAGCCACAGCTACACAGAGAACCCCTGTCTCAAAAAACCAAAACCAACCAAACAAAACCAAAAAAAATCCTAATTCATATATTTTTAAAATAATGTGATTGGATTATTTTTAATTCTTTTGAAGATATGTTCCTTTAGGTTAAGCAGTTTCACCAATAATGCTTAGAAACTTAGTTTGTGTTTTAAGTTTTAGTCAAATTATCTTTTGATATCAGTAATTTTGAAGTTCAGTATGTAGATAACACTTTGTATTTTTGGATTTGATGCAAGTGAATATATTTTTGGAATCCATGATATTTATCCTCAAAACTTCTCATAACTTGTGATTTTTAGTGTCAGTAGAAAATAGCACTTTGAAAAATTTTCACTCTAGCTTTTCATGTTAGAGTTTTTGAAATATCTCCAAACTGTTGTGAACTACTAAATGATATTTTTTTCATATATAGGTTTGCCATTCAGAACTTGAACTGGGCACTTGTTTTCAAGCAGTAAATAGCAGGATTCAGCTGCAAATTCTTGAGGCGCAGTACCTTCCAAGTTCATCAACACCTCTGACTTTGAGTAAGTGTATCAGTGGTTCAAAGTGCATCCAGTGTAAAGAGGTTCCAGTAGGGTAAGAATCAAGAGACCAGTATGCATCAAGAGCTGTGCGCTTCTCTGGATAAACAGCTAGGGACTGTGATATGTTGGTGGGCTATGCTTAGAACTAAAGATTTGAGATCAATCTTACTTCAAGGGCTAAGAGTGGAAGGGAATTATCTAGGGAAGTAAAAGTTCTTTAACTAAAAAAGACTAAAAACATATAAAACTGAGCACTCAAGAAGTCAGAAAAATAACAAATATTAGGAAAGCTGAAGTTGACAATAGACATAAAACAAAAAACTTTTTTCTTTAAAAGGACCATTAAAATAGGAAAATTTGTAAGAAGATGGATAAGGCAAAGTAGGGAAAACATTGGTATTCTGAACAGTGACGATTATATAATTTTAAATTCAGAAGAAATTTCTAAGTCAAAAGAAAATTAACAATATGTAAGATAATTCCATGTACCAACTATACTAATTCATTTGCACATGTACAGAAAGTAAATGAGTTCCTTAAAAATTCACTAAAGAAGAGGAAGAATCTGAGAATAATAATAATGAAAAAGTGAAGAATTTCTTGTAAAAAGCACTAAGTAGGGGTTGGGGATTTAACTCAGTGGTAGAGCACTTGCCTAGCAAGCATAAGGCCCTGGGTTTGGTCCTCAGCTCAAAAAAAAAAAAAGTGCTAAGTAGGGCTTGGGAGATGGTTTAGTTGGTAAAGTGCCTTTTGTACAAACATTAGGACCTGAGTTCTGATCCCTAGGAGCTATATAAAAATCTTGGGGTGGTCATGCATGCTTATAACCTTGAGGGGATGGAGAGGTGTTTGCTGGACAGCTTGTCTAGCTAATCAGTGAGTGCCAGATTCAGTGAGAGACCCTCCCTCAAAAGATAAGACAGAGAATGACTGAGGATACCTAGTATTTGCCTCTGGCCTCCACATGCTTGTATACACACAACCTACATATATACGATAACTTACATACACAAATAAGATATTTTCCTTTTTTGTTGTTGTTGTTGTTAACTTGACACAAGAGAGACTTTTCAATTGATAAAAATGCCTCCATAAGATTTTCCTGTAGTTAGTCAAGCCTGTGGGGAATTATCTTAATTTAGTGATTGATGTGGGAGGGAGAACCCAGCTTACTGTGGTAAGTACCAGCCCTGTAGGTAGCTTTGGAGCAGTGGTCCTCAACCTTCCCAATGCTGTGACCCTAATACAGTTCCTTATGTGGTGACCCCCACCATAAAATTATTTTTGTTGTGACTTCATAATTGTAATTTTACTATTGTTATGAATCGGAATGTAAATTTTAGTTGCTTTGGTCATTCAATTTTATCACATCAAAAGAAACTGTAACTAAGGTAACATTTTAGTGCTTCATAGCACTAAGGCTACAATCATTTGACTGATAGAGTCTACCAAACCATTGAAGAACATGTAAATTCCTATTCAACATAAGCTATTCTGAAGCATGCAAAAATAACTTTATGATGTTCGTATACTCTTGATATTAAAACAGAATGAATAGCCCGTAAAAAGTAACTATAAATTAATATCACTTATAAAGCTAGATGGAGAATTATAATTAAAAGTAGACAAATAAAATCCAAGTTAGAAAAGTAAGTCATTAAGATTACATCTAGTTAATTCTTTTTTATTAATTAATTGATTCATTAATCTTTCCCAGCCTGATCAGTTTCCCCTTCTTCCCTCCTCTCCTTCCAGACCCTCCCCCAGTCTTCCCTCTTCCCCCCATACCTTCCTCTTCCTCTTCAGAAAAGGGCAGGCCTCTCATGTATACCACCAGCTAGCCATGGCATATATCAAGTTGTGGTATGACTAGGCATCTCCTATTAAGGCTGGATGAGGCAACCCAGTAGGAGGCAGGGGTCCCAAAAGCAGGTAACAGAGTCAGAGACAGCCCCTGCTCCCACTGTTAGGAGTCCCACAAGAAGACCAAGCTACACAACTGTAACATATGTGAAGAGGTTCTAGATCAGTCCCCTGTAAGCTTTCTGGTTGGTGATTCAGTCCCTGTGTGCCCTTATGTGCCCAAGTTAGTTGATTCTGTGGGTTTTTTTCTGTTATCCTTGACCCCCCTGGCTCCCATAATCCTTCCTCTCTCTCTTCCACAGGATTCCCCAAGATCTGCCTAATGTTTGGCTGTGGGTCTCTGTATCTGTTTCCATTAGTTGCTGGGTGAATCCTCTCTGATGACAGTTGGGCTGGGCAATGATCTATGAGTATAGTGGAGTATCATTAGGAATCATTTCATTGACTTTTTATTCCCCAGTCATATTTAGTTATATCCCAGAACTCTGGGCTGTCTAGACTCTGGATCTTGGCCCTCCAGGCAGTATCAGGGATGGCTCCCTCTCATAATTCTATGAATCAGAAACAATAGTGGAAGTCTATGCAAATGTAATATATAAATGGATGGCTTCACTTAAGCAAAACTACTACTTAGGATTGTTAATGATTGCCATTTTATAATCTAATAGTTCTCATTCCTCATCCTGTGGCTCTTCCTTTCTGGCAGTTCCCTCTTGCCTTTCTTGCTGCCTTTTAGCCTCAGTTATATTAACTGACTCCTCACAGTAGCCAGACAATACTTGCTGCTTAAGCTGTAGTCATTTTGTATTGTTGCGGTCTGAGGCTCCCAATCAACCCAAGCAGACACAAGGCAAGATTTAATGCAGCACAGCACAAAAGAAGTGGATAGGGAGGAGGCTAATCAATCAGGGATGCAGAACAGACCCAGGAGCTGAATTGTGACCCCAAATGTCAGTTGAAGCAAATATTTAAGCACAAAAGTTACAAATATTTGTTGCCAAGTTGTAGTTACACTTTTCACCAATCAGGATTTAGAGATTAGGGACTTCCTTGAATGTTCATTCCATCATTGTCAACTGATCTACAATGCAAGTCTTTCAGTCCAACTTGATTAATTTGTTCTTTCTGTTGTTAGGAACAGCCACAATGTTTCTAGAGAACTGAAAATGCATAATGAATATTTCTATGGTTTAAGGATAAGGTGGGCCAGCTATTAGAAGTTTCCAAGCTCCCCTAGGGCTTGGGAACCTGAACTTTGTTTCACTCTACAGGTAAAATGGAGTCTGAAGTCAAAATGGCCGCACTTAAGACAAGGTGCTTTTTGCCTATTCCCAACAGTATATCACATTGAAAACTATGCTTAGATGAAAAGATACATTACCCATAATTTTATCCAGGGCAGTTCCCACGTTAATATTCCTGCTCCAACTTCTTTAGTACCCCTTTCTTCCTTTTGGCTTAAATAATGAAATTATTTTCTCAAATCTCTACAGACTAAATAGTTCAATATTAAGAGCCAGCACACAGTGGTCCAGAGGGTGCCTGGACCGGTCTACTCTGGTGACTGGCCTAGCAAATAACCTAGCTGTCATCATAGAGCCTTTGTCCAGTGACTGCTGGAAGCAGATACAGAGATCCACAGCCAGGCACCAGGCTGAGCTCCAGGAATCCAATTGATGAGAGAGAGGAGAGATACTGCAGGCGAGGGATATCAAGATCATGATGGGAGGATGTACAGAGATGACTGGCCACACTAGTGGAAGCCCATGAACTGTGGACTGGTGGCTGTGGAACCCCAATGGGACTGGACTAGGCCCTCTGAATATGGAAGACGGTTATTTGGCTTGAACTGTTTGGGGGGCATCCAGGCAGGGGGATCGGGATCTGTCCCTGGTCTATGGGCAGGCTTCTGGAATCTGGTGCCTGTGTTGTGACACCTTGCACAGCCTTGGTGCAGTGGGAAGGGGCTTGGACCTGCCTAGGCTCAGTGTGCTGGGCTCTGCTGACTCCCCATGGGAGACCTCGATTTGGGCGATGTGGGGATGCAGGGTGGCTTGGGAAAGAGGGCTGGGGGATGGGAGGAGGATAGTATGTGGAGTGAGTAGAAAATTTCTTAATAAAGAAAAATGAAAAAAAAAAAAAAGAGCCAGCACAGTTGGTTTCAGAGGATCTTTACTGTTTTTTTTCTCTAAAGTTCATAATTGTTATGTTTGGTTATAGTTTATACAAACTATTTTATCATTGTTGGAAGTGCTAGATCTCAGATTTACTTAAGGATATTTACTTGTTTTATTCTAATGCATATATATTCTGTCATCACAAGCAAAGAAATTTACCTATAAAATTGAGAAATTAGTACCTCTAGCTCTCCAGAGAATTGACACCTTTTTTGGTGAAATTCATTTCAATGTGTTTTCCTTTGCTGATGATTGTTATTTTGGTTGATGTCATTCAGACTAGAGGAATATTAAGTTTATTTGAGGCCGCAGTAGTTATTTGTAAACTGTGGTAAACTTTCTGTGTGTTCTTTTGTCAAACAATAATCCAGAAGACATTTAAAGTTGATTATTTATATTTTTATAACCTATATAGATAAAAATCTTTATGTAGTATTTCACATAAAAGTTTATAAACTATAGTTTCTTGTTTCCTAGGTTTTTTTGTGAAGGTGGGGATGTTTAGCTCAGGAGAGCTGATTTATAAAAAGAAGACACGCTTATTGAAGGCATCCAGTGGAAGAGTAAAATGGGGAGAAACTATGATTTTTCCACTTACACAGACTGAAAAAGAAATTCTTTTCCTCATTAAACTTTATAGTCGAAGTTCTGTAAGAAGAAAACATTTTGTAGGCCAGGTTAGTATGTGTTACCCTGAATTTCTTCATGGTATATTGCTGTGTGTTACTATGTAGTTAACTAGCAAAGGAAAGAAGATAAAATTAATAATGAATACAGGAAGATTCTTCAAACTTCTGAATTATAATTCAGTGTTGCCTCAGAATCAAATTTTGTCAGATGTTCTGCTTTAATAAGATAGATAACATTTCTAAGCAGCCAGGCTTCTTTTTTAAGCCTTCTGAACTTTCAACTTTAAAATATAAAATCAGTAAAAGAGAGAACCCTAAATATGTGTAGGTGGAGTTTTTCATCAGGACCTCAATCAGCTCTGTTCTGCCAGCTGCTTCCCAAATAACCACTCAGAGACTATTTATTAATTATAAATGCTTAGCTGATAGCTTAGGTTTGTTTTTTTTATCTAGCTCTTATAACTTAAATTAGCAATTTATATTAATCTATATGCTGCCATGTGGCTCATGGCTTGTTTCCTCATCTTGTATACATCCTACTCCCTCTGCATCCAACTGATGACTCCTCTGACTGTGCCCTTCTCAGTGTCCTTAGTCTGATTTTCTGATCTAACTTTATCCTGTCCAGCTATTGGCCAGTCAGCTTGTTTATTAAACCAATCACAGTGTAATTTACTCAGTGTACAGAGGATTATCCACAGTAAATATATAAATCAAACTTAAAACTTTGGGTATCACATTTATTTTATTCTGTTTCATCTTTAATTTTGTATTTAAATGAGCCTTTTATGTATTTTATTAACTTAATTGTGATAGATTTGAATTTCTAGAAAATATAAAATTTTAACAATGTTTGTGATATTATTTAGATAGCCAGTTCTGCTTTCTGGATTAATTAAAATTTCTGAGTAATTTGTATAGGACTATATAACAATTGTCTTGCTTATCAATCATAAAATTTTTTTACATCTTTTTTATTCTGATTTGTGGCAGCTGTTAGTTATCTTTTTATCTTAATTACAACTGTTTGTGTCACATTTAAATCTTGAAGTCTTTAACTGATGTTAAAGTTTTCACTTGACAAAAAGCTGCTAGTAACAGTCTATGTGAGATCTTCAGATTGTGTATAGGAATTTTCAAAAACTGGTATCACCTCTCATTTCATATAATTAGACTGCTAATTTAAAATGTTGCAGTTTTCTGTATTCTTATTTGGAAAGGAGTTTGAGTTAAAGAATTAATGTAAATTTAATTTGAGAGATGATTTATAGTATAATAAATCTGGAGAACTTCTTTGGTGGCCTCAGGTGTCAGTCACCATGAGGGAATCATATGTGGGTTCAAGTGTTCCTACTTTATCAATCCAGAAACTCTAATGTTGTCTGTGTTATGTATTGGGGTCTATGTAAGATGTTGTTTGAAGGAAAGTTTTTTTTAGATCAAGGTAAGAAAAAGAATTTAAAACCACTGACTTACTCAAATCTCTTAGAAGAATTAGAAACTGGATCGCAAGTAAGTTAAATCCAAGGTTATATACCATTTGTTAGTGTTACAGCCAAGACTAAGATTCAGTTTTTTTAATTGTCTGTTTACTTTGTCTCCATGTTATATACTCATTTTGATGTCTTGTATTTTTACAATACTACAATTTCCCCAAGATCATTCACATGTATTATCTATAGTTATATAAAAATAGATATAAATGAAATTATTATGGATTAAGAATGACTATTAGTTTCAATTAAGATTATAGTTTCATGTAATGTAAAAGTGTGCTTAAATGCACATTCTTAAGTTAAAATCATTGTTTGCCTCAATTTAGAAATCATGGCAAAAGGGCTGGAGAGATGGCTCAGAGGTTAAGAGCACTGACTGTTCTTCCAGGGGCCCTGAGTTCAATTCCCAGCAACCACATGGAGGCTCACAACCATCTGTAATGAGATCTGGTGCCCTCTTCTGGCCTGCAGTCATACATGCTGTATACATAATAAATAAATATATCTTAAAAAAAAAAAAGAAATCATGGCAAAAATGTTTTTGAATAATAAGCTCCTAGATTGATTGAACAAGAAAGAATACTCACAAGTGATGTTTTAAATAATATTTTATTTTTACATTTTTAATTCTAAAATTGAATTGGATCACATAATCCAGAATGATTCAACAGGTTAAATATTTTAACATTTAAGGGTCAAATCACCAAGCAACTTTTGAAAAAATTGGAATGATATTTATTTAAAAATATATTATCCAAACTTGTCCATATCTTTTAACAATAAAAGTAATTCCTTAAACTCAGCTGCTAATATTATGTCAAGTTGAATGATTGTTCTGTTCCTTTACAGCTCTGGATAAGTGAAGACAGTAATAATGTTGAAGCAGTGAACCAATGGAAAGAGACAATTACAAATCCAGAAAAGGTTGTTATCAAGTGGCACAAGTTAAATCCATCTTGAAGACTTCAGACATTAATTTAGTGAAGAAACAACTTGACAGTCTTTTAGAAGAAACATAATTTCAGTTTTCTAAAGATTGTAATGCATTCTATCAGGTATACAAAATGAATGAAATGTTTTAAAATGGTGCCAAAACAGATGATAAAATAAAATGTAGTTTATTAGGCCAACTAAATAGATTTTAGAATCTATGAAAATATCAATCCTAGATAGGTTTTTCTGTATTGGTTTTGCTTTTGTTTGGTTTTGTTTTTGTGCTTTGTAAACTTTAATTTTAAATACTGAAAACTTACTTTTCAAGTAAACAAATCCAAGCCTTTTGAGGCTCTAAAGTAAACATAGAATGTGCAGAAAAAATAAGAAACAACTGAGCAAGCAACTGCTAGCAATTCTTCAGCATTTCACAGGGCACATTTAACAGACCAGCATCTTCTTAGTAGCAAGGATTGCAGAACTATCCACATGGCCGTAATCCTTTCATCATCTTGTGCTATTGAACTTCAATACCTAGCACACCAGTCCCTGTTTGTACTATTATGCATTTACAAGAATTTACCACTTTTCCAGTGCTAGGAATGATTGATTAGATCTTGATTACACTGTTCATATCTTCATATGTATTTTTTTTTCAGAGCAAAATGAATAGAACCATTTCTACTGTTTTTTTTTTTTTTGTATTTGAGGAAAGTTGGTTCTTCATGCTTACAATTTCTTATCTATAAGTCATTTCATGACCATCTTATAAGCTGCTTATCTCCAGGAGAATTAGAGAATTATTAACATTTTTCCGAGAATAAATAAGGCTTGGAGCTACTAGGATGGCTCAGTGGATAAAGGAGCTTGTCACCACACTTGAGTTCCATTCTTAGAACTCAGCATGAATGGAAGAAGAGAACTGATTTCTTTAATTTGTTCTCTGAAATCCACATATATATCATGGCATACACATGTACACACACACACACACACACACACACACACACACGCTAAACATGTCTTTAAAAGAATAAATAAAGTTTATTTGAAAGCCAAAATATATACATTTTGCTGTCTTCATCATTCTTTATTTTCTTTGGAGTTAAAATAACATATTTTATATTCAGGCCAACTTAATTTAATGATCTTAAATAGTAAATTCAGTATTTTGATCATTAGTTCTTTGTTTTAGTTTTTATGTAAGTTACTTGTTCTGCAATCTACAATATTAAAGTATTTTCCCATTTTTAATAGCCATACTTGGTAACAATGTATTTTTCTACTGCAGATTTTTTCAGATATGTATTAGAATTTAGCGTATGGAGATTATTTCTGCTTGGATGGCTGTAAGAGTTATGGCTAAGACAAAACAATCTTTAGGAAGGTGTAAGCAACAGTTTCTAATCTTACAAATACTGATTTTATTTTTGCCAATAAGTAAATAATGAGATCTATATTCCCGATCATCCTCTCTCTCTCCCTCTCTAACTGTCTGCCTCCTTGTCTCTCTCTTTCTCTCTTTCTTTGTCCCACACATTTTAGTCTAGAGGATGCTTTGTTATAATGTAGGAATAACCTTTTTATTTCAGTTCTTCTTTATAGTCTAGATATTTAATTAGAATCTAAATTGAGCTGTTATCTAGGTGTCTTCTCAAGATATATATATATATACACACACATATATATATATCTCAAGATATATATATATCTTGCATTCCCTTTGCTTTTATTGCCTAGATTTTTATGGTACCAGTGGTATTAACCACAATTCTTCACCACTGTGAATTTTGAAATAATATTTCTAGACTGGTCAGTACTCTCATGGTCTTTTAGGAGAAACCATCCTTTGTGATAGTGATAGTATTTTGAACATTGAGACTTAAACTTTCTTTTAGTTTAGTTTGTTTGTTTAATAGATTTTAAAGTGGGAACAGAAATTTCCTACATGTAATCTTCCATTGTCAGCACAGGCACAGCCTTCTGCACTATCAACATCCTACACTCAAATATGACATGTGTCAAAATTGATCAACCTACATTGACATATCACAGGCTTTGCTATTTTTAAAAACTAGAATTTTACTTTCACCATTTTCTGTGTTCTACTTTTAATTCCTAAATTTAATACATGTCATTTATTTAATTCAGTTTTAATGATTAATTTTTAATTTTTCAAGCATATGTATAACATGTAATTTGAGGTAAAGATATACTTTCTTGGTTTCCCAGACTCCTAGGTAGCCAAGATAAATTAATAAAAAAATTTCATTTAAAAGAATTTTCAGGTAAGAAAGTATTGATAGGTGAAGATTTCTAATGTTTTCATCAGTCTTCCTTAAGCATTTTTCAGCTGAAGATGTACTGAATGTAAACATGTATGTTTATTGTGTCCTTGAAATTTTTATGTGAAAATGTAGATGCAAGAACTCTTTTATTAATAGGCACTCTTGGTGAGAAAAACAATTAGGAGCCAACAATAAAAACTGAAATACTATTCAAAAATCATTTTCTTTTGTATTTGTTTAGGCTTTTCTTGACCTTTATTTGTTGTAACAACAACAACAACAACAAAGGAACCAAAATAATGCTGGAAAGCAAGTGCAAACCAAGGAAACTTCATAAGAGGGGGATATTAGTCATTTATCAATTATATCATTTATAAAATATATTTATAAACTCTCAGATAACACAAAAAGTTACAGCCCATATCTGAATATGGCATCACTATTTGCATTCATTTACTTTTGCATGATGCTATTCTCTTTACAATGGTTCTTTTCTATCTTTTTTCTTCTTCTTTTAATGAATTGCATAGTTGTTTACTTCCCAGCTTGTTCAAATTTCCTTAATTTCTTGGTATAACAAACACATTTTAATTCAAATATAAACTTTGATTTCTATGTAGAACAAAAGTAATTGGTTCTGCAATTAACTTGCTCAATTACATACAAACAACATGCTATATATGAAAAAACTTGCTGACTGAATTACAGGTATTATATACTAAACAGTCTAATAGTTTATTATGATTTCTATTTAACAATCTAGGAATTTTGAAGCCATCAGCAGTTCCAGTGGCAATTTCAGGTACAGTTGGGAATTCAGGAATCTCGATGGAGCTGTTAGTGTAGCAGACCTTGTAGGTAAAATATATGCATCTTTCAATAGCACATGTGAAGGACTTTCTCTAAAATTGACCTCATTGGTTTCATTCTCAGCAAACTGACCTGGTTCACTCAACATGGCCTTTATTTTTTGTGATATTAGTGCATGTTCTATTTTTACGATGAATTTATTACCACCCGAAGGTATTAATTTGATATACATGGCATTAAGGCCTTCACAGCCACAGTAGGTTTTCTCCTCCATCCATTATGTTATTATAAAATGTTATTATATTATTATAAAATATTACTTTGATCCCATAGGAACTTTGTTAGTTTCCCATACACATTCTGAGGCACTGGAAGGAATAACTTCTGCCAGATTACAGCTGCTTTCTGCAACAGGAGGGAGATTAGTCAACAATGTCTTTATAAAATCTTAGATAACAAAGAAAGTTACAGCTTATGTCAAAACATTATTTGGCATTCATTTAGTTTTGCATAATTTTTAAAGCAGGAATCATAAAAATGACTCAAGTGTATTAATGTCAACTCTTCCCAGACTGTTGAGAAGAAACCATTGGGATTTCTGAACATATGTAATTGTGGTCTAAAAGTAAACTAACCTGAAGTTTTCTTTGAATATAGTTTTGCAAATTTCTTTGATACTAATAAATTCATCAGCCAGTTAGAAATCATTTTCCAGCAAAAATTTTCATTGTTTATATGTTCAAATATTTGCACATGTATGAAAGAGTTCAGAAACTTGGAATAAATTAAAACTTCTTATCATGGTAATAATGGATATTTCAGATGCCTCGTTTTTCTTTTTATTTATTTATCTATCTATCATTTATTTATTTAATTAAAATTTTTTTCTTTCCTTTTACATACCAATCTCTGTTCCCTCTCCCTCCCCTTCTCCCGCTCCCTCCCACCTCCCCATATCTCACCTCCATCCCCTCCTCATAGAGAGTAAGGCCTCCCTTTGGTAGTCAGCACATGCTGGCACACCAAGTTGGGGCTGGACCTAGTCTCTCCCCCTGTATCAAGGCTGAGTAAGGCATCACACCATAGGGAATGAGCTCTAAAAAGTCAGTTCGTGTACCCTCAATAAGTCCTGGTCCCATTGCCAGGGGACCTACAAACACATCAACATGCAACAGTCACCCACATTCAGAGGGCCTAGTTAGGTTCCCTGTAGGCTCCCCAGCTGTCAGTCCAGAGTCCATGAGCTCCCACTATCTTAGGTCAGCCATCTCTGTGGTTTTTCCCATCATGATCCTGATCCCCCTTGCTCCTATAATCCTTCTTCCCTCTCTTCAACTGAACTCCAGGATTTTGCAAATGCCTCTTTTTTGAATGTTTGGAAATATACTTAGTGTTTCTCCAGGGCATATCAAAGAAAATGCGAATAAAATGTCCATGTCTGTGATGGCTACAGTGATGCTTTTCTAATTTCTCTTCTTCAGAATATGTCTTCTTTAGAACCTGTCTTATTCAGAACAAATTTCAAATGCTTCCAGTTTTAGATGAAACACTAAATTAAAAGAATTTTGAATTATGAATTATCCTGTCTATTTAAAATATAGGTTTATGATTTTAAAGCTATTAAAATAATTATTATGGTTCTCCAAAACTAGATTTTATTTTATTATAGATGAAGGTGAATGCTGTCTAGTTTTAGTGATTTCCTAGTAAATTTTTTTCTTGGCCATCATTTTTAATATTGTCATTATTAAAAAATTTGATCTTTAAAACAAATGGTAATAGTATTTCCATTAAATCAATAGGACTTTGGTAAAGGCAGTAGATAACCTGGAACAAAGTTTCTACATGCTTTCTTAGACGGTAAAGAGATAACTAATCCATGCTACACCAAATAAGGTACTCTTTTAAATGATATTGATAATAATTCAGTATTGCTTTTAATATTCTCATGTCATGGGATTTTAAGGTCATCATTCTTTAGTTTTTGAAGCTGGAAGATGATTATTTTTAAAAATCTACTTCTTATGATATAATGATTTTTTTCAGCAAAAGTAAGTTTAATTGATTGTAGTGCTAAGTTGGCCTTCAGTTTAATTTCTTGGTCTTTCAACTGCCTTTATTATATAATGTATGAAGTTTTGATCATGAAGTGACAAAAATTGTAAATGAGTCACCATATATACTTAGATATAATAAGCCATCATTGTTTATACTGAGATTTTATATTTTATATATTTTATTTGTGAAATAAAACCATAGAAATCAGAGTTAAAATAAAAAGATTAGAGGTATGAATAAAATGCTCTGGAGGGTTTAATAAAGGAAGAATTAAATGCAAATGAAGGAAATAGGAAAGGCTTGGTTGATCCCTTGCCTGATACATACATATGCAATCAATGTGGTAGCACTAGTCATCATTACTGACTTGCCCATGTGAAAATCTTGATTTCTTTTGTCAGCTGACTCACTGAAAAGCAATTATACTTCTACTTGTTTCAATCTTTAACATACGTCCCCTTTTATTACGTAGTATGTCTTATTTCCAGATTGTGAAGAAAACATGATTGGATTCCTTCAACTACCTACTTCCATATCTACAAGTTTATTTTTGCCTCTACCCATTCTTTCTACCTCATGTTGGAATGCTAGACATTATAAATTCTGAATCCATTCCTCTTAGCCCTTTCTAGGCTCACATTCTATTTATTAGACCCAGGTTTCCCTATTTGTTGTGGCTCTCCTACTGGATTCCATGAACTATATAGGCATAATTTTATAGTTTAGGTTTCAGTATGGACAAAGGAATCTATGAAAATTGCAGAGGAAGGAATATCCAAATTCTTATGTTGAAAATCCAACTCCTATAAGATGGATGGTATGGGAAGTGGTCCTTTGGGAGGTGCTTAGGTATTTAGAATGGCCCTCATGGATGGGATTAGTATTCTTTTAAAAGAGAGCCTTGAGTGATTGATCTCTTGCCCTTCCTGCCATGGGACATTATGTAAGAATATGGCTGAGGCAGCATGCTTTTACCAGAAACCAATTTGGCAGTACCTTGGTATCAGGCTTCTTAGCCTCCAAAACTGTTTGTAAGCTACATGGTTGTTATAGAACACAGTCCTCCAACCAGAACAGCTACAGTCTTCCTCAGATCAGCTATGTCTACTTTTGAGTGAGCATCATGTTTGGATCTGTTGACTGTTGACATTTCTTGAGGGGAGGGGTGTATGTGATGGGTCATTGGGATCCTCATCTGAGATTCCAGGTCCTCCTGTCAGCCATTTTTACAATTCTGAGCTAATAGCATGGAGTGGCAGTAGAAGTGCTAAGTATATAGGCTGGAGGTTAACTGGGGCTTCATCCTTGTGGTTATGGGGAAATTATATGTGCTAGATGAAAACTTTCCAGTCCAGCAGCCTTGGGCCACCTGTATACCTATAAGCAACCATGAGCATGCTCTGTAAGTGAGCCCAATAAATCCATTGGTTCCCTGGGTTGAACTTTGATGGACTTTAGTTTGTTGTTGGGAACACACCTATCCCTAGGGATGGAATTATACCAACACGATTTATTTTGTTATATCATCTCAATAGACTAGGAGAAACATTTCATAAAACAGCAAAGAATGCAGTATGCTTCTCAAAAGTGTGTTCTCTCAGGTTCCCCAAATCCCCTAAGGCATGCTTTATGAGTCTTTATGAGTGACTCTATAAATAGGGAGAATCTTCGCTCATATTGGAGTTCTTTTATCCATTCTCACAGGAATTTCTATTCTTTCCTCATTTTCCTCCCACCTGATTCTTTTTTTAAAAGAAATTTTCTATTTATTTTACATACCAACCACAGATCCCTTCCCCTCCCTCCTCCCACACCCAGCCTTGCCCCTCATCCCCATCCCCATTCACACCTCCTCCAAGGCAAGGCCTCCTGTGGGGAGTCAGCAAAGCCTGATATGCTCAGTTGAGGCAGGTCCAAGCCCCCCAACCCCTGCACCAAGGCTGTGAAAACTGTCCTACCATAGGCAGCAGGCTCCAAAAAGCCTGTTCATGTCCTAGGGATGGATCCTGATCCCACTCCCAGGGGTCCCCTTAAGCAGATCAAGCTACATAACTGCCTCGCCTATGCAGAGGGTCTAGACTAGTCCCATGGAGGCTCCACAGCTATTGGTCCACAGTTCATGAGTTCCCACTAGTTTGATTTGGTTATCTCTGTACGTTTCCCCATCATGATCTTGAGGCCCCTTGCTCATAGAATCCCTCTTCTCTCACTTGGACTGGACTCCTGGAGCTCGGCCTGGTGCTTGGCTGTGGATTTCTGCATCTACTTCCATCAGTTACTAGAAGAAGGCTCTATGATGACAGTTAGGGTATTCACCAATCTGATTACTCAGTCTTAAGTGGATACTAGATGTAAAGCAAAAGATAACCAGACTACAACCCAAAGGTCCAGAGAGGTTAGCTAAGGAGAACCCAAAGGGTGATGCATGGATTGCCCTTGGAAGAGGAAATGGATGAGATCTCCATGAGTGTCTGGGGGTGAGGGAGACAATGGAGGATAGGGAATGGGGATGAGAACATAAGGGAACAGGATGGTCGAGCTGGAACAGGGAAAGAGTGGGAGAGCAATGAAAGAGATACCATGATAGAGGGAGACACCATGGGGATAGGGAGAAACTGGGTGTAGGGAAGTGCCCAGAAATCCACAAGGATGACCCCACCTTAGACTATTAGCTATAGCAGAGAGGGTGCCTGAACTAGCTCACCTGATTATTTCTAAATGCACACCTTGTTTGCTTACCAGACAAGTATGTTAATACCAGTAGAAAACAATGTTAACAAATACCTGAGTCATTTATGTGTCAATTCTGATAATTTATGTGCAATTAATTATTTAACAAGAGGTTAGTTTCTCAGCATAACAACTGTTAGGTCATTTATGTTTCACATCTTTCTGTGGTCAATTTCCCTTAACTTTTTTTTTTTTTTTTTTTTTTTTTTTAAGATCTCCAACCATGTTAAGTTCTGCCTTGCCTGGTTTCTTCTTCACAGATAACTTCAAGCTGCTCTGTCCTCAGCCTGTTTTTTTTTTTTTTTCTTTTTTTTAAAAGATTTCTTTTTTTTTTTTTTATTAATTTATTTTGCAATACAATTCAGTTCTACATATCAGCCACGGATTCCCTTGTTC